AAATCCTGCGGGCGCCACTAGTGTGTATCCATCTTGAAAGCATGCTTAACTTCTTTTTATCATTTCCGTGCATACACAAGCTAGCTCACATTCTTTTTGAGACTGCACTGATATCTATGAACAACTTATATGCGTAGGATTAGTAGTGGAGTGCCGCGACAAACCCAATTTCCTGGATATCAAAACTACCCGTGCAAAACATCCTCGGCGGAGAAACAGGGGGAGGGGATGATACATACTCGAAACCATTAAAAAATGGCGCATAATTGTGAGTTCGAGGTTTACGTTGCTTGCGTTTTGCACGTTTTTCGCCTAACGCTTGTCCTTCTACGCCTCCAAAATGCGAATCCCCAATTTCAAAACTTTGAATTTTGCTCAAATTTGTCTCTTCTCTTACATGCTATTCACGAACATCACACTTTTTCTGCAGGAAGACGCCACTCTGTGTGGTTAAACTCGGTATTATAACGTAGGCCAAAACACAGATCTCAAGAAGACTCGACAAGCTGATTGCTGATGTCCCACTCTTCCCTCATGAGAACATTTACGATAGGTATACTGTAGGGGATCCACTTGGCTAAGTTTAATCTAGCAAGGATACCCAGTTTGCTGATTATTTATATGGCATTCAACCCGTACGATATGGTCATTTCGTTTCGGTGGTTATACGATACGAGAGCAAAGTCAGAACAAATGTGCAGAAGGTAATCTGATGCTTATCACAAATATTGCATTCTTTCGCATGACAGTGCATCTTCTATTAGGTTGGCGGATAATTTCTGTTACACTTTTCTCGTAGAATTCGCAAAAGTTCCAGAAGTTCTCTAGAATCTTCAAAGTGGCTCCATATGTAGGCCACGGCAGGGCGTACACAACAGTATGACTGATGCCGCAAATGCACAATTAGCCAGCGACTTTACCGACAAGTTTATAAGCGCACTCAAAATTGTCATTTTTTCTTTGATTTTTTTCTCTGAGTCTAAATGTGTTTTTTCTTTCCCATAACTTTTTAGACCATATTGTCGCATCTCTCTTTTATGGTAGCACTTTGGTGCCGCTAGCACGCCGTGGGTGAAAAATAACTCAAAAAAATCAAAAATTCGCCGAAAATTTTCCTTTTTGTGTGCATCGTGTAGAATTCGATACGGAAAGGTTGGAAATAATTTTTGTAAATTTTTAAAGATTGTTCTTCATGTCAAAATACCAATGTGCGCTGACATGGCGCAACATGTAGTTAATGTGATCGCGTGCGGACATGATTGTGCCATCCCCCTTCGCTAAAAACTATGGACCATACCTGCCCGAATACCATATCGCCCGGTCTCTTCCCAATCACCTGCAGCAATGCCAGCCCGCTGACAAAAATGTCCATAAAATGTACTCCCACCGAAAAAGTGGGTGTTTTTCGCTCGGACCGCGGATCTGACAGTACCGGCGGGTAGACCTTTGTACTCCGCCAACACTCCTTAAACATAAGAATCTTCGAAGGTTCTTAGATTTTGAAAATTAAAAATATAAGTGTAACAGAAATTTTCCGCCAACCTAATACTTTTTTCCGTGCCTAGATCAATTCGAAGCCCAAAAATGACAATGCAGATCTAACAAATTTCATTGGTAAAGAGAGGAGCGCCTTCGAATCTTACTCAGCACGAAAAAAAAGACACGAGACTATGAACAAACAGAACAATGGGACCTTTGAGCCTGAAATCTTGACCTTGTACATTAGACATACCATAGCTTTGCGATAAAACTGCATGATAATGGTGGTCAGCCGCATTGAATTGTTGACAGGGCAATGACCCGATCTTGTCATTTGTACTCTTTTGATTCGCTAACAGGATGGACAATTTGCTTATCGTGACAAAGTTGCTGACTGGACAGTCTACATGGTCCCGACTTTTTCAACCCCGAAGAAGGCGATATAACCGAAACGCAAATAATGAGATATACCAATTTTGTGCAAGCTAAACAAATCAGTGAAAAACTGCGATAGTTAGTGCGCACGATGACTGAATCAGCATGTCGAATAACCCATTTGTACATTTGCAACAAAATCTATGGTTATGACTTCTCACCGTGCACTCATCGTAACTCTGGAAGTCACTAACCATGCAAAAATAGCGATATGTGACCAGTATGTCAAATCCTATAGACTAAGTTCGTGCGAAGTTTATAAATTCAAAGTCTTGATCCCTGGACACGCCTACCATTCACTAGTCTTACGTTCTTGCTTAGTACAGCTCGTGTTCAGCACATACGAACACGAGCTGTACTAAGCTTTCGTGTGGAGCTGTGATCTCTACAAGGAAGTTGATCTGGAGCAAATGCAGTTAAAGGCAATGTCTGGGCAAAAACTTGGTTTTGCGATTTTGTGCTTACCCGAGCCTATTCGCTATGTTGAAGCTGTGAGCATAGATATACAGTGGGGAAGACCTCGCCCACTTGGTTTTCCATCCTGCGTTAGAGCATTTTGCCGTTTTCTCTCTCCATTGTGGGTTTGCCAGATTTTTGGATTTAGCATAGCGATAAGGCCCGGGTAAAAAATCTCAAATTCGACATTTTGCCCGGACACGCCTTTGAACAGCACTTGCTCCAGACCCATGTTGGATCCGTGTGGTCAAATTAGGTGTAGGTTGGTACGCTACGGACAGCACCAACCCCGACCTGGGAAGGGGGAGGTCGTCTTGGGGGTAAGAGCAAGGGGAAGGAGTCGTAATCAAGAAGCTCGTTCAAAAAAATTGAGGAAGTAGGGTCGAATAACGTGAAGAAAAAAAAGCGCTTAATCGTGAGCCTCACAACTCCACCAAAGAAAACGACTTTTGTAAAAAGCATGCTGATTAAATCGACTAACGAATTCTCAGCCAAATTTCAATTCTTCACCTTATAGGCCGTCCGCGCAGGGCACGGAGAGTGCGCGTGTACTGCGCGTCACTCCTCTCTCCTCGTACACTCTCGCCGCCTGTTTTCTCTGCGCTTCTTCCAGTTCGTGAACTGCCTTCGATGTACGCAAAGCGTTGTTCTCCGCGCGCAACGCGGGCGGCCTATACCTTACATGTATCTAAAGGTCACCCAAAGAAACATGTGTAAATTGGGGTAATTTCCGTAATCAGCATGCCAAATTACCTCAACGAGCTCTACGAAGCATTACCTGTCACATTTTCTAGTGTTTTCTAATGCATAAAAAGCGTGGTTTTCAAATATGATTAATAACTTGGTCACAACAGTGAAAGAAGTCAGCTTCTTTTGTATTCATAACGAAGTATTGCTCTTTATCAGTCTATGTTAATTGGAAAATGGACTTCATATCGCTTTCAAAAAATGGATTAAGAAGTGCTGCCAAGATGTTAGTCACCGAGTTTTTACCGCGTTTGCTTCAACACTCCACTGATCATCGCAAAGCCAAAAGTTGAGGTCTCAGACACCTATTGTAGTCTTCGAGGTTTATGCTAGCGAATCATATAAAATTAAGGTGGAAAAGATTCTTCGCTGATAAAGCCAATCGGGTCAGGCGCAACCCCTTAAAAGGTCAGGCTGCTTTTGCTTTTGAGGGTTGCGCGATCCTCTTAACTTGCCTTCAATATCCAGAAATCGCTCCATTTTTGGGTCATAGTATTGAGCTTATAGCGTCTTCTTGCTACAGTAGAAACTTGGAGCCGAACCCTCACCCCTAGAGAAACTATGGCCCTTTCAGCAGATCCATCCAGATCAAAATCAACCGTCCAGTTACGACTGTAAAGTTCAGTCACAGAAAACGGCGACTTCTCGTAACTTGAGACCTCTCCAGAAAAGGATGATGTCCTTCAGAATGTCACACCTTGATGTTCCGGAAGTAGATGAGGATGAAGGGGTCGTTTGAGGGCTATCATGGGGGGGGGATCGTTTTCAAAAGATTTGTGCCTGACCTCTTGCTCAACTCTGACGATGACCCTGTCCCCACGAACATGAAGGCACTCTCACTCTGACATTCGTTTCGGACCAACGGCGCGCAAAAAAAGCGGATTCCTACGACCCGAGCCTGTCGAGCGTATGAGCGGCGCGACACAGTCGGATTTGAGTACGAGCGGCGCCCAAATGACAAGCAGGAGTGGCCGCGTGCCCTCAAACGCTGCTTTTCAGGCATGTCCACGTGTTCACCGTGGCTAGATAGATACCATAGCCAAAGAAAGACGTTTAATTTTGTGCGCGATCATTATTTATGCATTCGGTTATAATTTTCACAATTTTAAATCCACAAAAACTATAGCGTAATTTTCACACGTTATAAGCATGAAGGATACTTGCGTAAGGTACGGTGGTTAGGCTGCACTCCATGCTAATTGCTTTGGATGTGTTTATGTACATCCTTCCACAAGAACATAATCGAAAGTTGATAAGACCTTTGTGTTGCTCAATCTTTTAGCCGGGCGTGATTTCCGGAACTGCTGTATCGGTGGCGCTAGATAGTACAGAATTGTCATCAGCGATACAAGCACGAAATTGCCATTCCAGCGGCGCCGAAGTGACAATGTATCAGCGGCGCGAAATTCGCGTATCACTCGAGCGCATTTAGCGGATGAGCGGTTACGGGTTCCGCTTGTACGCAATTTCGCGCGGCTCGGAACGAATGTCAGACGTGCGATACCTCGTGACATGTTCAGTTGCACATATACAAAGAATGTTCCGCCTGTAGGCGTAAAATTTTACGAACTCTTCAACTATAAGCAGTGCTTGTCGACTTTTGCATTCTTCGGCGTTCTCGGGAGCATTATGTAATACATTTCAGAGCTTCTGAAGCTCCATAGGGATGGAAAAAAAACAGAAAAAAAAACACAGATACAGACGTGTGTGCATGTTTTTGAGGGGATTTCGAAATTGCGAACTTTTGCATACTCTGCACTCTTGTCCTCCTCTTTTTATTTTCTTTTTTGTTCACCGCATAAATGCACCGTCGTTGTTTCGTGTTTATTGGCTTATTTTGAACACATGATACTAATGTCTTTTTATGACTTGTAAATTTTATTTTTCCGGTGTGGGTACACTATTCTACAAGCTTCGGATATAATCGAAGCTGTAGTTATGATTGCTTATTATTCGTCACAAACATCATAAAATGTGGCGCTATAGGAATATTTCAATCCGCTCAACGTAAGTTCATGAAAGCTCGTTTTGGTCTTCGTTTTATTACAACGCTTGCTTTTGCAGGTCTAATATACATCATCAGCTCTATCAGTCTCTTCGCAGAAAGCATGAGCAAAGTTCATCAGCATTAACACAGGGTTATACGACAGAACATGCTAGCTCAGAAACGTAAGTTATCTTTCTTCAAAGGTACAGGGATGACGGCAAAGATCTTGCCGCAGCGGGATGCTCGCCGTCTAACAAAGTGAAAAAAGTATATCCTCTTAGTATAGTCTTTTCTTGCTAGAGATTACCTGTAAGTTCCCAAGGTGCAATGGATCCCGACATCCTAGGTTCCGGCCAGACTTCGCTCAAAAGTGCCCAAAAGCGCCCAGATTTTTCTAATTCTCTCACCTCTCCTCACATGAAAAAGTGAAGAGACATTAGAGAAATTTGGGCGCTTTTGAGTGCTTTTGGGGTTTGGCCGCCGCCTTACTAACAAGGATCGCTCTTCGTTTTCTAGCTGTCTCATTCTGTATTTCAGCACTGCCGCTCACTGGTTTTTACACAGAAGCACACTCAGTACTCTACCTCATAAATCGACAGGGCCAGTTATCCGTGAATTGTACGTTTTCGGTGTTGTTACTGTTGCTTTTCCCACACTTAAGAGCTTCTCTTCTCTGATGACTTTATTTAGTCTTCATAGTATAGCTGACAAGTTTGAGTTTTAATCTATTCAGAAAATCATTTGATGAGTTCGGGCTGCTTTCGCGAAATGGGTTCACGAGTGTCCCGCATACGACGGGTGAAAGGGCATTTGTGGATCACTTTTTAAGGTATGTATTCGGATCAAATGGTCTGTATCAATTAATAGTGGGAATTTAGTCATGACATATCGCCGGTGGTCGATCTTTCTGCGATTCCCACTACAGTAGATTCTTCTGAACTTGGAGGGTCAGTGGAAAGCGTAGAACTTGAGCAGCTAGAGGAACTACTAGACCAGGGTTACGATGTCTCTGCAGTTCTCAACAGCATGACTGCAGATGAGAGGTAGCGCTTTTTTTATCAGTTTTGTAAATTCTACCATTTTTTTTCAGTTCTTCGATTGTGCCAACCACCTCCTCAGCTGTCATGGAGAGCATGGATAGGAAAGGAGATTGTGCATCTTTGAAGGGCACTAGACAGGTGCTCTCCGAAACGCAGAGGCGAAGTTTTAGGAACTCTTCGTCGGTAGTCCCGTCAGGTACCACTCTGAAATTGTACTTATCAAAGTCAAAAGCATCGTGTACATTCAGTCACTCCATCCGTTCACGAACCTTTACAATCTCGTTCTGATAGTTCACCGCGGTTTGATCCCGATATTTACCGAGCAACCAGAGCCACTGCATCTGAAATCATCGAAGCTGTCGAAAACCAGGTATATCCCCTTCCTCTTTTTTATACTTCCGTTACACTCTGGTATATATATTGAACAGTTGATTGTATGACACAGGGGCTGCCTCTTTTTTTATTCACTGCCCGAAAAGCATAGAAATCTGTGAAAAAGGAGGCCATCTCGCTGGATTACCTAAACTGCGCTAAGAATAAGACTCGCATTTGAAAATTGCTAAATTGTCTTTCAAGGATCTTTCCTCCCTTCGAAGTATACTGATGGAGAAGCAATGGCCTGATTATCGTAGCATTGGTCGCCATCTTGATAAGCTGTTTGAGCTCGTTATAAATGGCTGTCGTGACACTGACGAAGCTATGCTTTTTCTACGAGATTTGTGAGTATTCGCAAATGCGATCCTCGATCAATCAAATCTTTCTATTTGTACCTAATTGCTTCAGTGCTGCCTCAAATCGTGGAGCTTTTCTACACGATGATAATGCCATTCGCTTAGCATATCGCATAACATGCGATTCTGGTTCAATCGATGCTGCAGTAGAATCTTTGAAGGTTTTTCGCAACATGTTCCTTGTCAGACCACGTGAGTCTTTTCAATCAGCATCGTTTTGCAAAAAAAATTATATTCTAGCTATGAGCCGCAGCTCCGCAGTGAAATGTTTAATGCTTTATCAGCTTTACGCAGTATCATCTTCAGTTGGTGAGTGCTTTAGGTCAAAATTGAGATGTGTTCGAACGTTTTTTTTGCAGGGACACTCAAGGATGCTGAGAGATTGCACTGTGCTTTGGTCGATGGAGGGTTTGACGAAAACGGTGATATTTTCATAAGTGCCTTAACGCGGATGATGCTCAAGAAATGGTGCGTGTGGTTTCAAACTTTATTTTTTATTCGTAGATGGTTCATCGTGTTGTATATTTTTTTTTGCGCTGAGCGCGTGTGATACTGTTGATCTGATATGGCACAATCTTGTGATGACGAAGTAATCTAGCAAGCGCTGGCTTACAGCTCAATATGTATCTTCTTCACAAGCATAAGGGCACGAAAATTTTTATTTTTAACCAAACACTTGACCGTTGCAGGGATATCGCACAGGTGTTTGAAGAATGGCGGCGGTTGTCAGTCAGTTACGGGACAACTTGTGCTTCCGAGCTGATTTGGGAAAGATTGCTTGGTTTAGCTGATCATCCAAAGAAACAAGCAACATTGGCTGGTAAGATGTCACGTTTGTTCATTATTGAATCTAAGTTATGCTTTTACTTTTCTAAGGGAAATTGTTATCGCATTGTCTGCAATATGAACATCCGTCGGCTACCGTAGCAAATCTGGTCACTACACTTGTTCGAACAAGACATCTGAATTCTGCCAGATTGGTTTCTCTGAAGGTACGTTTACCCAGAAGCTGCACATCTGATTGGTAACCTCAATTCAGATCTCTGTTCCGGGAAAGTTCTTCAAGAAAGCACTTCAGAGTTCTGCGTATTATGAGGTAATGTTTCTTCTATTCCTCATACATTACGACCTCTCAACCATTGTTTCGATTTGCAGCACACTCTCCAAGAGGTCGAGGACTTTGCTAGTTTAGTCAGCGATTGCATATTTGCGGAAAAGAAGAGGACGAAAAAGCCTTCGGTTTTACAGGTATGTCATTGGTGATGCAAGTAAAGCTCTGGTCATTTTGCTGATTTGCGGATTTTTCGCTTTTGTGTACTTTCTCCGTTGTTTGTGTAGTCACCACTGTTTACAATGGTAACTACAGAAACAATGGAAAAAGTATGCAAAAAACAAGCTAACTGTGCTTCTTATGGTTGGTATTCATCACTGTCATTTTGAAACTGGCAAACGAAACTGCGAAGATCAGGCTTCAGCTCTAATAATTGCACATTATGATCTTCATCATTTTGCCAAAGCACTTTCCTTTTGCATTCGCAGTTTTCTCCTTCAAATTCGAGATATTATTTATTGTGTTGTCATCGCTAGTGATTCTGTCTTTTTTGCTGTCATCTATTTCTGATTAAATTGAAGATACCATGGTTCCAGTCTTCTGTGCTAATGCCTGATTTGCTCCTGGTGCTCGACTCTTTTTGTGGAGTTACGAAACGAAAACAGTCAAAGTTTGTTGCCAAAAATGACAAAAAGAAAATTCATCGTGTTAATGATGTGCAGCTTTACGAACTTTCTGAATTTTTGCAGAATCTCTGGTTGAAGGAAGCAGGTATGTTTTTGCCTCTCTTTATCAACGTTTCCAATATTCTTGATCTAGAAAAATCTTGTGACCCTCGTGCAGTGGATAGAATGGTTGCTTGGAGCATATTTCACAAACTAGACATTACACCCAAAATGGCGAAACAGATTGCTGATATCAAGTCGAGGACGCAGCCGCCAAAGTCTTGATGTTTCAGAGATACTATGTTTCTAATCGCTTTGAGCTGCTCTTTCGATTTGGTTTTCCAAGCTCAGCACTTAGTAGTTAGTTGTTTAGGTACTTGTTGTTTGTTATTATGTTGTTTTGTTAGAATTTACAGGAATATAGCTCAGTGGAAGTAGTCAAATATTCGCCGTTACATACTGCAGAGTTTATTATCTGTAATGTTGTTAACGCATCTTGATCTGATTACTTTGTGTATACACGCCAATCGACGTTAAACATGTTATGAAGATGAGCCTACAGTAAAATGTTGGGACAGAAAGCATAGTTCTTGTCATTGTATTAGAGATATCTTAATCTTTCCCCATACCTTATTCTGTCCGTTCATAAATGAGAAATTTGAACCTAGTGGTATCGTCCAGACGAATGCTCGGGTCGAAGAGGATACTTCTATTTCGGTAAGATTGTTCTCTTTCTTGACCTCTTATAGTTTCACTAGTTTGGAGATCAACTGATCTCATAGGCTTCTAGTACTGCTACGAATCTCCAATCATTCCCGTAGGGAGAACTCATACCGTGATACTTGGTTGGACCAAAAAAATGTGACGGGCATTTCCAATGCAAATTTGGCTAGGTGTCGTTCGCTTTGGGATTTCACCAGTTTTGGTGGTGGAAGCTCTATGAAGGCTGGCTGGATGCTCTTTCGAAGAAATGCGAACAGAGAACCTGATATGATGTGAAAAGAAGTAGTGCATAGATCCTCGCGGAAGTTTTGCCTTTGTAAAATGAACAATGGCTTTGCAAGTCAAGAAAGTTTCAGTTTCTGATGGGTATAGTTAGGGGGTGGTCGTACCAAGTTTTGGGTTACCAAAATTGTTTCGTCGCATCTCTTTTAGAAATTTTCATGCTTTATTTTCTGCTGCTCCTTTTTGAGTGTTTCAGCGCTAATTAGATTCTGTGTCCCTCTCAGCATACCTTATGGACGAACATCAATCTCTGTGTGATTAGTGCGTAAGGGTAGTTATATGAAGATGAACAAAGAGTGGATCTATTGTAATTAGCGATGTAGTGAAATGAAATTTCGAGTTAGATTTCAACAATGACATACTGCGGCAAGGAATATGGGATGAGATTGCTGATTCGTAAATTCGATCTGCGCTTTGATTTTATGGTACTGGATTGACGCAGGAGGGGGGGGGGAGGGGGAAGGGGAGGCAATAGTACGCGTATTTTTTGCGCCAACCACAATAATCACAATTAAACCCTTGGCTGGCACACTTCTACATAAGTTTATAAAGGTTGCGGCATGTTCGGGGATTGGCAACTGCCATATCTCGACGACCTAGCAGTCGGCCTGGCTTACCTCCGCCGATGGATCCAAGAAATCATAGGATGAAGAAGGTAGTTTCCCAAAAAGAAAGTGTCTAAGTAAAAGCTGTCGTTCAGGTCATGTCATTGGTATCCTCAGAACAGCTGCGTCTGCAAAACAAGCATCGTGAAGAACTGGAAAGTAATAGAGCAGAGTCGCTTCAGGAAATTGTCGACCAGTACGTCTTTTTGGTTGATGTTTCAGTGCAAGCCTGGATGCTCCTTGCTCATTTCAGTGTCGAATGGCGTGGTGTTGTGTATAGTCAAACGCCTGAAAAGGTTGACAACTCGTTAGCAGATATCTGTATCAAATTTCAAATCCTTAGGTCGCTCGACTGCTTGCGGATTCAAGAGAAGATCTCACATCTTTATCGGATCGTCAATTAGCTGTGCTCATTTCGACTTTTGGTAATGCATGCGAATCTGTAAGCTATTTGAGAAGATCTGCATTTATGAGCCAAGCATTACAAGCCCTTCAGCAGAGAGGTAGCCCGTTACAGTGTAATTTTCATAGAGCTTTTCTGAAATCACATTTCAGGTGTTTCACTACAAGCGTTGTCGAGAAACGCTGTATTAGCTGCTCGCATTGATAACAACGAAAGTGTAAATGTAATTGATGAACTAAAAGCTTGGGAAGCGGATGGTATCACACCGAATGAGGAGACTTATGCTCATTTATCGCGAGTTTATGCACACTCAGCAAACACTCAAGGGATTGTGTAAGTACTCTTTTTTTTACGCACATTTGCTATGAGATAGAAGATGCATTGAATATTCTACTCTGCATTCACTTACTTTTTAGTTTTTTGCATTTCCAAACTTTCTTGAGGCCGCTTCACCAAAAAATTGAATTCTTCCAGGGATATCATAAATCATATGAAATCCAACGAGATGCCGATATCAGAAACACTGCTGGAATCCCTCATATACTCAGTTGCCAGAGGTGGGCATTACACGCAAGCGGAAAAGTTTGTCCAGGTACTATTTGCATTCGAAATTATGGGATAAATAGTCTTGCTTTTGGCAGAAATTCCAATCCTCTGCTAATGAAGCTCTTCTGCGAGTCGCAGTTGCTAGAGCTGCGGTTGCTCGTGGTGAAATATCAGAAGCATTCAAAGCTCTGGCTTCGATACCTATGTCGGCGAAACTCAACCAGGTAATTATTTTGTGTTGATAAGAAAATGTATGTATTTTTTCGCTTAGATTACTAATAATAAACTTGTACTGGAGCTCCTATATGACATGCTCGATGCCGGAGAAATGGATGCGGTCGAGAAGGTAGTAGTGCTCGTCTTTTAGAGCCCAACTTACAAGTCCCATTCCAGCTATTGCCTTACTTAGCTATGGCTCAAGAAGGATCAACTTTGAGTGAGTTTCACGCCAATCCATCTGTTTTGGCTCGATCCCGTCGGGCTTGTGCAGAAGGAAAGTTGGATGTCGCGTTAAAGCTGTATAGCCTACTTCATCCTAAATTCAAAAACAGGTAGACCCCACTTTTTTTCTTGCAAGAAAGAAAATCATTTCGAACTTGCAGTTACTTCGAAGCGACACTTCTGGACTCGTTAGGTAATCGCTTGAGGAGTAACGATTGCTCTGTCGATAGTATATTTGCTTTGGCGGAAACGATGGAGTCAATGGGACTAACGAAGTAATTGCATGGTTTTTACAATGAGTCGTTTTACTCGTATTTCATGGAATTCTAGAGACCACAGACTGATTTTGCTTGAAAAATCTATAAATACGCCACGGACTCATGAAGTATTTGCAAAACTAACTGGAGATCAAGTCGAACAATGCCTTGCTGAGAGGCCTGCTTTGAGGAAAACACTTGCGAGAAGATTGAGTGAACAAGTAGGTTGTCCACCTTCAAACATAGATAAATCATAGATTACCTTTCTGGTTCACTTGTGGAACTTCAGCTCACAACCTCAAATCTGAAAAGAGAAGAGCGAGTGAAAATTTTGGCGGATATCGCAACAGTGTTGTTTTCTTATGACAAGCAACAAACTATCCAGGATATCATGGCTGCTTATTCAGTCATTTACGTGCTCGGCGGCAAAGGTAAAGTGTTCAGTTGTTCTCATCTTGATTCATCCTCAATGGACTCCTGCATAATCATAGTGGAGGGTTTTATATTTACTTGCTTGTGAGATAACTTCAAATCGCACATCTGCTTTCATAGATGTCAATCTCGCAATTCCTGCTTTGGAAGTGCTCGAAAATCTTCATGTACACAGGGAGTATGCAACTGCATTAGTACAACAACTGCTGAGGAAAGGTGATCCGCTTGCCGAAGAAAAGCTGAACAAACTTTTGAACAGGTTGGACTAGTACTTTGTGCATAAGATGCCTTTTTGTCTTATAAAGATGTGTTGCAGTGGCGCTGTGCGTTCGATAAACTTGAGCCGCATTCAAAAGCAAGTCTCTGGGCTTCTTTTGAATCGTGAGAAGAAAACTAGTGAAGCAGATGAGCGACAGCTGAATTTAGCAGCGCGGATCATCGCTCTGAGTTTTCCAGGTATCATGAGGTTTTTTCTGCTAGATTAAGAAAAATACTGAATATGATTTGTTCAGCCGAAAATTCCAAAGGAAAATCGATATTTGCCTCCAAATATATTATTTTGCAACTGCAGTCTGAACTTCTTCCCATTGATCGTGCTCGAAAAGTTTACAAAGTTCTGGAGAAAGAGGTAAGGGGGGAGTATTGGATAGCTGTATCGAATTGAAATTTGTATGTTTCCAACCATCATGTGTGCATGGGTCTCCGCACTACCAGCAACTTCCGCTTGCTTGTTCTTGCTTTTTGTACGTTACCGACATGCTTACCCGAAACAGACATTGATCATTTTAGCATTTTCTCTTTTTACGTTTGGGTGAGATATGCAGCTATGAATGTAACAGCCCTAGAAATACCGATAACATCAACAAACGATGGAAGGATTATCACTGTCATAATTTTGGTACACCCCATACTGAGTAAAATTTAGGCAAGGATTCGCCTACCAGCTGAGGATATCACGGCTGGTAAAAAAGCTCTACACGATAGTGGTCAGAAAGAAAAAGTACAGCTTTTAGAAATGTTGAGAAAAAAGAGTCAGGTAAGGACATGAAACTCTGTTGCTTTTTCTGCTAGCTCATGATGTTTTGTTTGCAGACGTATGCTAGATGGCTGTCATCATCTGTGGATGAACTCGAGGAAGAATTGGCTCATATTCGTAGTATGCCTGATCATAAACCCGCCGTTGCAAACGCGATTTATGAAGTGATCCTCAGGAAGGTCTCTGTGGAGAAGGTATCTTTTATTTCGCTGCATTAAGCATTTTCATATTTTTGCCTTTTTTGTAGCCTATCAACTATCAAGTGATTGTTCGTCACCTCCTCACTATCAACGAATCTTTCAATCCAATACCACCTCGTATAGCTGAACTGGCGAGACAAATGCATTCTAATGCTTTTGTGTCAGCGCTTGGCGAGCAAAAGCTCGATATTGCTGAGAACCTCTGGGACAATAGGTAGGAATTTTAAATATGTCAGGCTTCACACCTGCATGGCTCCTAAGCTTGTATTTTGCAGGATTGGCGCACCATCCGTGGAAAACACGCTGACATATATAGCGCTATTGTATCTGAATGGGCGTCAAGATAAGGCTGATAAAGTTTGTGAAGATCTTAGGTCTAGTGCACAAACTATAACTGGTGCTTCACTCCAAACGGTGAGATACAATCGATATTTTCTTCACTTTCAGAATGCTGTCCTTGTCTATTCAAACACATGCTTAAACTCACATAAACACTATATTTTTGTAGGTTATTCCGAAACTGTGATATTGCTTTCTCATACTCCGTCATGATCTTCGCATAACAGTGGGTCTTTTCAGGTAGGTGACCGATTGGGCGACAGCTTCGACATCAGTCAAATGCGGCAGTTTTCTCAATATCTTCAAGGAAAATTTAATCTTGCTTCGAAACATTTGCTGAGAATAATTGCCTGTGTGAGGTTGCGACAACTGGAAAAGCTGATCAGTGCGTGAGTACTTGACTGTAACCTTCACTTACAGTTTAGTAATGATTAACATTTTTTACATTGACTATCCTCTATATTTGCAATAGACATCTGGATAATAAGTCTTTCCATTTGTAATCCTTGCATCGCGAAAACTAATCGCATTCAAATGATATCATTTAGCGGTAAACTCGATGAAGCCTTGCAACTAGTGGTCGAACATACGGTAGAATCTAGCAGCGCCTTTGGACAGTATCAGTTAGCAGCAGCAGCAATAAAAGCGTGAGTTTGTTCTCCAATGTGCGTAAGTCAGCATGCTATCTTTTTGTGCACTTATCAAGATCATAATTTACTGTTTCTTATTATGCATTTATGTTGTAGTTTTGAACGTATGAAACGTACGTAAAGTACGAGTCTTTTCCGCGTAGCTCTATTAACAGTCAAAAATATCTTGAACGGAAGTTCATTATCAAGCCTCAAATCTCACGTGATTATTTTCCCCGGTATTTCAAAGCACCTAGCTGTCTCCAGTTAACCCCTTGATTTGGAAGGAAATCTGATTAAGGTAGAAAAGCTTTTATTCTTGTTCTCTTGGGGTGTCGTCGTTGTATTATCAAGCAGGTTGTAATGTGTCGATCATTTTAGGGAAAATATGGGAGTTTTGAAAGGCGTGTTCGATGTAGTAAAGCGAACACATGGTAAAGAAGTTGCTTTCCTTGACCTCGCCTATGTACTGCTTGAAGAGCGGCGTACTGAACGCGCCATGAAACTCTTGGATGTAAGTCTTTTCGAGTGGATTGGAATTGAGCGAAATTAAGCTTTTTAGACGCCTCAGCTGAAGATCTCGCCAGGAAAGTTAGAATACTTCATTAGACGAGCAGTTGATAGTAATAGGGTTTGTTTCTATGTACACTTGCTTGTTTTTAGCAGGATCAACTCAGTGTTTTTCAGCCAGACGTACTGCGCGGACTTTTCGCGGGTCTCTGTCAAGGAGATCGTGCGTCTACAGTAGGATTGAATAAGCTGCTAGAGCAGCTTTGCCGGTTATATTGTAAGTTGTGATGGAAATCGATAGAATTCCGCATTTCGAGATTTTATTGCAGACAAAGACAATGATTTTACTTCTCTACAAACCCTTCATGAGGAGATCGAACGAGCGTCTTTCCCGTTAGAGCATCAGTTAAGGACAGTTTTTGAACAAATACATCGGCGGGTTAGTATTTGTTTTATTGTCTTGCGAATGTTTACTGATGCCTTATATTTCAGAAAATTGAAGCTGCTAGTCAATAACATTTGCTCATGGAACATTGCACTGTACAAATCGTTCATAGGACTAAAGGAACTCAAATGTTATTAATCTGTTTCGTCTGTTTGTTTTAATGCGCAATGAAGATATATTCAAAACAGAATTAGCAGTTTGAGGGCTAAGCCTTTCACGATTCTCTAACATGTATTTGTTGCTAAGGACACATTTCATTGCGCATTCAGATTGATGCCAACAAAATTTGTCTCATTTGCTCGATGCTGCATTTTCGTCAGTGTGGGTACAATTTTTCTTTTTCGATTATAACATTGAAATAACTGTTAGATGTAAATGATGAGGTCACAGATTGGGTTTGCCTAGGGGGGGTTTTCGCTTTTTTACATCGAAAGATCTGCTCTGGGAATTCATTAAAGCTATAGCATGATTTACCTTACAATTTACCTCTATCTCTCGGGTGACGAGCAAGAAGAACTATAGGTGGTGGCTGTAAACATGCACACCCTTTACCCTATCCATCCGCACTCAAAAGTGCAGATCAAAACCTTCCCTCAAACTTCCATTCAGGCTGGAGAGTCGAGTAAAATTTGTTTGTTTGTAAATGAGGTGAATACAAGAATTATCAACACATTTCTTTTCTTGCAATTGCTTCACCAAATTGCATTCGTCACAAGCTCCGAGCAAAGCTTACCAAATAAATCGTTCGTTTCAACTCTGCGCATGTTCGTTGAGTCTTAGCTTCTTCTCTAAGCCACAATCAACTATATCACGAAAGATCAAAATTGACTAACAGTTAAAAACTTAGCAAGAATATTTTTTAACGAAGAAGATGCGCTTAGTGAGGTATGTGATGCATCCTTATACCCACCATCAGTATCGTTCCTTTTGCACCTGCGCACTTATGCACAGATGTATCTTGTTGTAGCAAACTCACATAGCATAGTTACCGTAATCCTACTGTGAAACCTTCACGGACGGCGGAAACGGGTTGCGATTTCGTCTCCATCAAGAACTCTTAGGCAAATCTAGAGTAATTCCTTGCAGCTATCGGTTCGCATAGAACGACTCAGTGGAGTAGTGATTTTGACAAGATCTGAAGTTTGTTGGTCAGAAATGGTAATGTGTGTAAAGTAGCATGACGCTATACGGTGTACGTTTTTAGCAGGTTAGCGTGCGAAGTGATCGATTTCAGAAGTCCCACTAAAATTGCCTTGATTTGGTAATTCTTGGTATTTCGTTAATACCTACTGTATGAGTTTCTTTGTACTTGAAGTCGGATTGTATGTTGACTTGCTTTGATGACGTAAGTTGTAGATAGAAGTAACAAATTTTCAAACCTTCATCACCTCACTTTTTCTCTAAATCAGTCCATTTCGAATACCTTTCTAGAACGATAACCGCTATCTGTTCTCCTCCTGTGTACTTTTGTTGAGGATAAGAGTTACAAAAAAAAAACAATGGAATTACCTTATTCTTTCCCAATAAATTTTTAGTCTTTTCTAAACCTTCCATTCATCCCTGCATGTGGGACACTACTTTTTTTTTCATAAAACTAAATCTTTGCATCTCTCTGATATTTTGTAAACTTGTAGTATGTTAAGTTTGTGGAATCTTTTTTCCTCGAAATCTGAATATTGCAACCTTGCAAAAATTTTGAAAAAGGAATCAAAGGAGCTTCGGCAATGGCTTAAGGTCCTAACTAATTTTTAAAGCATTTATCCTGAAAAATTGTTGATAGGTTAATCTTGGAAGTTCGCAATCTTGACTTTGAAGCTACGTGGTTTTTTCCCAGTTTTAAAGCGCACTGAAGAGCTCTTCTATTGGTGTAATGATGGTGGCCGAATTCCCTTTTCTATACGATTTTTTGGTTTTGATCTACGCTATAGCACTTACGAGCGCAGAAAAAACACTTTTCGTCCTTTCTTTAGCTTTTTTCATGACTGGATCTGAATATCATGCAAAGGTGCTCTTCTATTCTTTGGACCTGATGTAGAGCAAGCCCTACGTCATTGTTTAACCAGACGAAATGATTTTGAAGGCGAATTCAAAGGCTTTCAGCGGGTTTGTCTGTAGCTGGAATTACAGGGTGCAGAAAAGTACTGTCCCTCAAAAAAAAAGTTCAAAAAATTGGCGTAATTCAGAGGTTTTTCTGGTAAATTTGACATAATTCCCAAGATGTGAATATATTTTAGCATTTTGCAAAAACTGGCTTCAAAATTCTACAATTTTCCCGCCGGCGGATCCCTTTTTGCAACGCATCTCATATCAAATCTTGCAACTCCACTTTACAAATGTGTAAAAGTGTGAAGATTTTTGGGAAGTTTTTTGTTTTCACGCGAACTTGAGAAATCCTCTACTGCTTAAGGAATGTGGCAGTGGATTCCGAACCATTCTGAAGGTGGCCATTTAGTATTTGCACTAGAGGAAATTTTTCTAACGAGAAAGCGGCTGCGGAGCAAAAGAGTGCGATCAGAAAACGTGGCACAGAGACTAGGTATAATCGCTTGCGCTCCAAAATCGTAATGTAGACAAAGTCCGATGCTCTTTTCATTATTTCTGTTACTTTTTGTTGGAATCTGGAATTTCGAATCATAGTCTGAATCTAATTCATTAAGCAAGCGCAGTCCTGACTCGCCTCTTTCCGAGAATTTTTACGATTTACGTGTGATATAATCTTCCTTATTTGGCAAAAAACAAGAGTCACCAATCTATAATTGATCTATAATGCTTATAGAATATTGGAGAAGAGGAGTGCGCTACATACCAGCTCAATTGGAACCTTATATAAATGCTTGTTATATGGTAACGGTTCAAAATCGCCTTTGTATGCTATCGGCGCATCGTTAATGTTTTTGCGCGCTGTTGTCATTCGTTCAAGTGGACAGAAGGGAACAGTTTCAAATCAAACTTATCTTTATCTTATTTCAAGGACTCGCCTACGTATGGGAACCAAAAAACTACAGATTTGCTCTACGTTTAAGGTATTTCAGGAGCAAGTTGGGTGGGCAGTACTTTTTCCGCATCCTATATATACAGATTTTAGGGTACCTAGATTTGCCTGAACGATGTGTTTATGTTGTTCGACTTCGTCCTGATTTTATATATCTAGGAGCGATACGCTTCTGCCGCAGCTGAGCAAAATGTTGTGGTAAAGTTGAAAGAAATTCTCCGAACAGCTGTAGGAGGTGATTTGAATGCAGCAGTGAATAGTTTTGAACACTTGAGGTGAGCTCATGAATGATTCTATTCTTGTTGATCATTTCGTTATGAAGAGAAACCAACGACATACCTGACTGGGGAGTTGTGAAAATGTCAAGTATTCTGCTGGAACACGGACAAGAAAAACAGTCGGAAAATCTGTTGCGACAACACTATCTTGACTACGGAGGAGAACATCGCTTGGGTTGGTAGTTTATTATATTAGGGTGTCCCATAATTTTTTATCGTTTCAGTTTCCGCAAATTCATATTATTCTTAATCAGGTTTTGGGGTACTTAACAGAGCAAAGCAAGCTCTACAAGATAGCACCCATACATTTGCTTAGAGCCTATTTTACTTAAAGTTCAATGCCGAAGTCTAAGAAGATCTAGTTACCGAAAAGTTGAGAAAAAATCGCATTTTCCTCAGCATGTATAACCCATGTATTACATCCGGCATTTATATAATATACTAGCTGGCTTACCCGGCTCCGCCGTATCCGGACCAAACTTGGCACACATACACTTCGGGCCCCGGCGGGTGTCACAGTCCACTTTTCGTTATCGATCGATGTCGATTTTACCGATTTTTATCGATTTTTTTGCAGAGTTCACCTACAGGGCTAGGAGTTGGCACAGGGGGGGGGGTGAGCATGGGGATTCCGAATACAATATTAGTTTTCAGAATTATCGATTACTTTTATTGATTTTATCGATTTTTTGTAAATTTTGACATGCGAGGCTGGGATTTTGCACAGGGGGGGGGGTAATCGAGCATGCTGATTACGAACACAATATTAGTTTTCAGGATCGTCCATTACTTTTATCGATTTTATCGATTTTTTTGTAAAGTTTGACCTGCGGGGCTGGGAGTTTGCACAGGGGGTAATCGAGCATGCAGATTACGAATACAATATTAGTTTTCAAGATCGTCCATTACTTTTATCGATTTTATCGATTTTTTGAAAATTTGAGCTAGGGGGCTGCAATTTGGCACAGGGGTGTAATCGAGCATGCTGATCACCCCCCTTGGGGAGGATCAGCATGCTCGATTACCCCCCTGTGCCAACTCCCAGCCCCCTAGCTCAAACTTTGCAAAAAAATCGATAAAATCGATAAAAGTAATCGATAATCCCGAAAACCAATATTGTATTCGGAATCCCCATGCTCGATTACCCCCCCTGTGCCAACTCCCAGCCCCGTAGCTCAAACTTTGCAAAAAAATCGATAAAATCGATAAAAGTAATCGATAATCCTGAAAACTAATATTGTGTTCGTAATCAGCATGCTCGATTACCCCCCTGTGCCAACTCCCAGCCCTGTAGGTGAACCCAGCAAAAAAATCGATAAAAATCGATAAAATCGATATCGATCGATGACGAAAAGTAGCCTATGACACCCGCCGGGGCCCGAAGTGTATGTGTGCCAAGTTTGGTCCGGATCGGTTCAGAAATGGAATTTTCTATTCGGAACATACGTACATACATACATACATACATACATACATACATACAGACAAACAGACATTCAGCTTTATATATAAGATACACTTGCTTATTTTTCTTTTGGCTAGAAATAGAAAAATAATAATTTCATGTTATTGCTAAAGCTGCAGTAGACTGCTTCCACATGAATAATTTTGTAGTATGAACCTTTTGAAGTATAATCATAAATGCTTGACCTTTTACAGGCAATAGTTTTGGGAAATAAACTTTAGCACAGAAAACACCGCAAAGACGACTTTTTCATATATTTTGCTTGTTTTGGTGTAGGTATTCTCTAGTTCTAGCCATGGATAAGCAAATTTACAGATGAATTTTGGCTTCGTATTCTATAACAAGCTTTGAGCAAATGTTCAGGTGCTATCTTATGGAGCTTGCTTAGCTCTGTCGGATGGTACTGCAAAACCTATTCAAGAAACAAGAATGTGATTTATTGCAGAGGAGTAAAACTGTGAAAAATCATGGGACACCCGAGTAGTTTTTTGCTTCTCTGAAAAAATTATTCTGAACTTCCAGCCCGTAAATCACTCATCAAAGAGGAGCAGGTGGTTGCTGCACTTCTACGCGTGCTGAATTCGGACGATGTCAAAGGTGTTCAGCAGGCTCGTCAACTGTATCAGTGGCTTCTAAAGGGCAAATACTGCACAAACAAGGATATGTTCATCGTTCTTTTTGTTGAAAAAGCATACGAGGGGTGAGTCTCTATCTGCATACATCAGAATCTACTTCAAGCTCAAATTTTGAAAAGCGCAGCTTCAATGCGACAACAAGAAACATGTGTTAACGCTACAAATGTTTAGGTGACATTGCGCTGCCGATGGCTGATATGTGAGTAAGTAAGAGTGGAGTAGGATTTCCGTTCGGGGGGGGGGGGGGAGGGAGGGTGTGCCACTATAGGGCAACTTTGACTCTGGGAGCAAACACAACACGTCGCTATGAACGTTTATTGTGACACTGCGGAAGCTTACAACAGAAGAGCCACTTAACCCCCGAACCCGCCCGCTTTACTGCGTGATGATTAATGTATAGGTCGATTCGGACACAATACATAGCAAATGGTCGAACAGAGGGCGACAAAAAAATTTTTTCGGATGAAGTTGCGTGGCGTCAGCCACGCACTCCGAATAATTTTCTGGGATGCTTCTCAAAATTTTTCCGGGCCCCTGACCCCAAAAGTTCAGAAAAAGGGGGCGTGGCCGCCCCCGAAAAATTTTTTTACAAGGCTAATTTGAATTTTTATAATTTTTAAATTTTATTTCAATTATTCACAGGTAAAACAGGTCCTCTGCACATTTTTATAACACATTTAAGCAACTTTCAAAAACGCCCCCCCCCCCCTTTGGTACGCCACTGGTGAGTAACTAGTACGAGCTTTGATTTGTTGAGATGCATAGTTTGTGGCAAATGTCTGGAAGAGAAAGTTTATTGGCAGCACAACGTCATCTGCCTATGATAAAACTATAAACTTGATAGTTTATTGATAGGTGATGTCTATTATACCATCTTACAAGGTAAGAATACTCGATCGCAGTGACGATTGGGTAAGCGCTGTATACCGCATAATACCGTCCCCAGACGGTGATTTCTAAACCACACTCCATACCTGCCATGACGTCATTCTGGAGCTATAAAGGATTTTTGGTGCTGCAGGCGCATTTGCTTGCCTCATCACTGACGTGGTTGACTGGTGCAGTGGATAGGGGCTTGGATTGCTGAGTTGTATGTCGTGGATTCGATTTTTCCGGGATGCCGTCGGTTTTGCGTTTTTGCAAATTCCTTCATAGCTCTGTCAGAGTGACGTCATAGCAGATATGGAGTGCGGTTTAGAGATTGCCGTCTGAGGACAGTATACACGGTATGCACCGTTTACTCAATCGTCACTGCGATCGAGTATCCTTCCCTTGTTAGAGGCAGTGTCCATTTCAATTTTGCCTTCCTGGCCCGGAAAAACCACAGAATCACAAAAATCACAGTTATGAAGCTCAAAATGCACAAAAAAATTTCTGGGAAGCTTTGTTATCAAAGCGCAAACAACTCCAAGAATTTGAGTGGGCGGAGCTTTGTACGGTGGGCGTGGCTTGATAGCGCTTTTGTGGATTTTGGTCCATTATTCCTCAGACAACATTGGAGGAGCGACAAGGCATATGCCCCTTCCTTGGGGCCTACATTCAGTCTTGCTAATCGGAAAGGCTTAAATTTTGCTTGGGTATTGTCTAATACGGAACGTCATCTCAAAAAAAAAAATAGATTCACAAGGGATATCATGAGAATCCTAATAGCCCTACACATTGATGAACTAAACAAGATAATAAGGACATTACTGTGGTCATATTCATCAATGAACTTCAAGTTTTGTCTTCAAAAGGATTCCAAACAACCTTTGAATACATTTTTGCCCTCACCAACCACCTTAGGCCTCGGACAGACTTCACGCGATTTGATCGTCGCGATTTAATCGCCGCGATTTTCATGCATTTTCATTTTACATTCAAAAATTTCGAGCTGGAAAAGTATCACAACCGAAATGCAAGCTGATCGGCATGCAATGAACTCGTAACAGTTGTCTTGTAGCGATTGAATCGCGACAATCAAAACGCGTGAACCTAATCTTCTTGTATTTCGCTTTAGTTAGTAACGATTAGTCGTGTTGTAAAACTATCACAACCGAATTACAAGAAGATCGGCACGCAGTGAATTCGTCACACTTGTCTTTAGCGATTGAATCGCGACGACCGAATCGCGTGAACTCTGTGCGAGGCCTTAAGGTAGGAATTTTTTTTGCTTTGCTCAGGTACATTTTAACTAGGATTTGACCTCGAGGTTGCTGATGAATATGACAAATGTTCATTCTGAACTTTGGCTGATCTCTTCTAAGATATGAATTTTTTGTCTTTTCTGTTACCATTGAAAATCCTGTAAACATAATGTTCTTCAACATCGACAGCGATCGCAATGACTTCTGGATGGGTTTGAACGAAAAACAATTTGAAATGTTCGAAAATCCTCATGGGAGTTTTCTCCCATACAAGTTTCCCATGAAAAGTTAGATTCTTATCAAGTCTCCTTTAGTAGGTTCAGAAGTGAGATACTTCATCTCTTATGCAAAATTATAAATGTGAAAGCTTACTATCGTGAAAGCAAGCTACCTAAACCAAGCTTAAACTTTGATTCAGCACTACCTTCTCAGACCGATAATCGAACCTCATCATCTTTATGCATGAAAATGCATTATTTGGCGTAGAAAACTCATGATATTCTTACGCTGTGTTGCTGATTTATCAGTTGCAGTACACAGAGTAATAATTTTATTACTCTAATCGTAATATGGTCGGAGCATTTTTTGTTTGTCATGAGAGTGCAGGTCATTTCCAATTTTCTTCTTTTCTACACCACTGGGGTGGTACTAGATTTACTGGAACCAGCAGCGGCTACTTGGCTACCATCTATCTTTGATTTTTCTTTGCTAGGCCCATCAGCTAACGGTTGCTGTACCGATTTGCAAGTCTTTGCGCTTCTTGCGGGACTAGCAGGTGCACTCTTCACATTGTCTTGCACGGGTGTTGTCGCTTTTGGTGCCTCTTCTGCGGTTCCTTTTGTTCGAACAGACTTCTCTTCTCTTTTGAACGTGAGCACACGACATTCTAAGCGGCTGAACAGAAAAATTGTTTGAACGAACACTTTGATGAAGCGTCCAAATAAGTCTGGTACATGGAACCATCGTGGGAACTGACTGGAGAATAGCAAGCTAGCTGGAACTCATACGTCAAACCATGGTCAGTCATTCCAAACGTGCCCACTACCGTACTCACAAATGCTGATTCGTCTAAGCGGAAAGGGTACGGTATACTGGGCGTGCATAACGGTGAGTCGACTGTGGATGAATTCATATAAGGTGGGCAATGGCTTCTTCAGAGTCCGTAATCAGTTACCACCTAAGATGGCCAATTCCCAGATTTGCGCGAACATCCTCCTAGTCATCAGAGACTCACCTCCAATACTACGCCCCGTATACCATATCCTTTCCGATTAGACGAATCAGCATCCTTGAGTACGGTGGTGGGCAGGTTTGGAGTTAGATCCTTGACCATGGTTTGACGTATGAGCTTTTTATTGCTCTACCTATTTACAACAAGTACTGCTGCTTTATTGTCGAGCTCTCCGCAGTAGCAAGGAGCTGAGAATATGGTCAAACATTTGCGATCGGCGAAAAACTCGTACCTGAAAACTCTTGTGAAATTATTCATCATTTGTTGTCTTTTTATGTAACTGACCCGTCTATAACACATTGGTGAGCTCTACATATCAGATCGATGTTTAATGATGCGCAAAACTCGTCCACCGCTTTCTTCCCGAATGTCTGATAGAGAGATTATCCTTATTGAGTTTTTTTCGGAAGAATAAAACCTGTGCTTCTAACTATAAGATTTTGAGATTCACGCTTTGTTGAACGCTCAAAATGTTTACGGTCAGGTGTAGGTTCAAGACAGAATGCTTTTCAAGGTAAATGGCACTTTTGCACGACAGTATGCTACTGCTGTGCGCATCTTGCCGCAGCTCACAGCGTACGCGGCAAAATTTCGTTGCTAGTTTGATTTGTTCAGGCAAAGACAGGGTAGGGGAACCAGCTTCGCTGTTTTGGGCCACCTCCGCGGCTACTGGTCCTCAAAGACAGGCAAAAGCATCCACGAGGAACCAGTTGTCGGGTAGAGAAACGAATAAAGTCGACTGCAGGAAGTCGCCCGGGACGCTGCAGGCTTAATGCACGCGAGCGTGCTGCAACGCGCCGAGTACGGGCGCTATGATGACTCATGCGCGCGAAAGCCAATGTTAGCCGCAAGAGACACGCTTGCGGGCATTTAGCACAGGCGATTTTGTGCAGTCAACTTACTGGAGTTTCGACCCCATTTAGGCGAAAATTGGATTGGCGGGCGTTCGCCGCAATGGTTCGCGCCGTTTCGCAGCTACAGTATATCATATCGCGCTGAGAACCAAGTCTGCGTCTCTTCATTCTTTTCAGTCTTTGCTTGGCAAAATGCCAACGCTAAGCGCTCGCGAAGCCTCCTGCGCTATGCGCACGCGCTGCTCCACCCAGAATGTTTCGCCTAATCCGGGATGAAACCGACTGTACCTCAATTAGGCGCCGCCTCCATCGCCTGCTAATCCTAACACACTATGCACTAGCAGGTGTGGAATACCAGTGTATGGTAGGCGTCTTCTAGTTGAAATATTCGTTCTCCATCCGCAGCTGTCCGCAAGACGGCTCAAAACAGCTAAGCTCTTTTTTCTAGCCGCAAAGCCGAGCCGCCACCGAGGTGTTGCGGGCAAGTGCGGTCATGCAAGGAATTATTCTGACAGCAATACGCTCGCGCGAAGCGTCCTACGCTAGTTTCTTTTTTTTTTGAACAAGCAGCTCTTCAACATTTGCTCATAACTTAGAGCTCCTGAAATTTAGCTTCCCGAACCCCAAGGTAGATTTTTCGAAATACACCCTTGTTAACTCACTGCTGATACTCCACGGGGACTGGGTTCGTACAAAGTTGTTGTGGTGCATGGATCGGACCATATCAGGTCACATAGAAGTCCAATATCACAAATATCTGTAGGCCGATACACTCTGCAAGATATTTTGATTTAATATCCCAATAAAGTATTATCAGAAGCAGAACCTTTCTAGTTGTCTGAAGCAGACCAAATCCTCAGAAATGCCCCCGTGAGCACAGAATATCCTTCCACCAACCACTGCAGCCATGGGCAGGCAGTTGAAGACATGTTGAAATATTGTCCACAATTCCACACCTAATCGACTTTTTTCCCGTCCTCTTATTTTCTTCTAGACATACCTCTCTTTGGGAACTTCCTTTTACATTCATCGTAAAAACCATATTGTCTGTTAACGCATCTTGTCTCATGGTTTCCGCGAAGCATGTATGTCTCCTTCGGATATCTGAGCTGAAGCTATTTTTGATTCCTTCACAATCAGGAGTAGGAACTGACCGTACCTTGAAAGCTAGAAGAAATGTTATTGTCTCTAAGCTGAAATCTCCTCTGTCAACATAGTCACCCAGAAAGAGCATTCGTTTTGTTGGAGGATGTCCAATCTGGTAAAGCTCGACTGAAAAGATTATAGGAGAGTTCGGTAAACGTAAACTTACCAAGCTCATCATATCCAAGAGGTCATACAATTGTCCATGGACATCTCCAACTATGATGACTGGTGGCTTCACCCTGAGATGATTTTTATTATCAAATCTGGTGTGCATTCCTGTTCTTTTTTAACTTGAAAGGCATTCAGCCATATTTGAACAAAAAATCTAGTCCTCCTTGTAGCCTAGAATGTATTCAAGGGACCACTTGCATTCTCGAGTACGGCAGGATGAACGGTGTGGGCAGGAGTCTCCCGGAGCCTCTCATGTCCTGATTCCGAATGAAGTCGAGAATTCGCAAAAATCCCGTCTCCTCCTTTCCGGAGACGGTGATTGGATGGGCGAGCACGGTTGGGCAAGCATTCCTGGAGGGGGCGGTGCCAAGGGGTCCTCTGCTCTCTTCGCTGTTCCGCAGCGATTGTCCCGCTTCCTAAGCGACTTCTCGCTCTGCGTTGGACATCTTGATAGGGGGTACTACTACTGTATGTTGCCAAAAGCTCAACACCCCTGCTTTGAGGCCACGCTGCCTTCGAGGTGTCTCTAAAATCGTCCAAATAAAAACTCTATACAGTCAATGTCAATCACGTACTCCCTTTCGCATGACTGCGCATGCGCAACGCAAGAGTTCTACGTGCGGACCTCCAATCGATGAGGCCAATTTGAATGCCCGAGCCATACGTGCGCGAAAGTGGTGCGAAGTACATTGCGCTTACGGAAAAGGGGAGCATGTGATCAAATAAACTACGCACAACTGCTTGGACACTTCTGTAAGCAGTCACTCGACGCGCTTTTGCAGAATTTTTGAATAGCTAACGCATGCTCAAGACTCGATAAACTTTAAACTCGATTGGTGGACTTGACATATATTGGCACGGAATTAATTTTGACCCACCTCAAAAGGCATGGCTCTTGAAGGAATAACTCTCGTGTTCGTAAACATATCTCCCTCATTTCGTCGAAAGAGAGCAATTTTTTGTATGAAGTGGTAGGCTTACTCATCCAGATCTTTTTGATTAGGTTCTCTAGCATTCGCGCCAACTAAAATTTTCTCAGCCCTGAAGGAATTTTGTATTTTCTAGCAGCCTACCGCATCTGACATCTCGGCTGGACGCGGATAGTGTCTGATTTCCGCCAGTAAAGCCTAATGCAAATACGTTCGAAAACCTTTAGCTGACAACAGTGGCGTACCCAGGATTTCGGCTCGGGGGGGGCGCGACAAAAATTTTTTTCTAATGAAGGTGCGTGGCGTTAGCCACGCACTCCGAAAAATTTTTTGGGGTGCTTCTCAAAATTTTTGCGGGTCCCCAACCCCTAAAATCTGGAAAAAGGGGGCGTGGCGTCAGCCACGCCCCCGAAAAAATTTTTTTTATAAAGCTAAAATGAATTTTTAAAAAATTTTAAAAATTATTTTAATTATTTACAAGTACAGACAAGTCATTTGCACAGTTTTATAACCCATATAAGTAACTTTCAAAAATTTCGCGACCCGTTCTCGGGGGGGGCGCGCGCCCCCCCCGCCCCCCCCCCCTCGGTACGCCACTGGCTGACAATGATGTGCCTACCTTCTCTTTCGGACCTGCTTCTTTTGAGCTCTTGACCTTGCTCAAAAAGCTGTGCACGAGTTTTGCTCGAGTAAGAGTTTTCATTGAGATAATATGAACTGATTCCTAGCAGCGAATGCGGAAAAGATGAATTAGGTGCTGCCGCCACCTCAGCGTCCTGTAGAGTATGAAATGAACCTTATACCATATGGAGTTCTATTTTGTTTGCCCTCTTGCTATCTTCTCATTTCGTCCAAACCCATATCTCTATGCAGAGGGTGGAGGGGGGGGGGGGTAGTGAGGATGGGGAACGGCTGAAGAGACCAAAAAGAAAGTTGGAGAGTGCAACATGCAAAAAACCTACTGAAATTGCTTTGACTGACAAAAGCTGCGTACTTGTGTTCAACCTTTCCTAACTCAATGTTTTTTCTTCCCCTTTTTTTCCAGTATTTAAATAATATTACCATACGTTTTTTCCAGCGGCGGAATGAGTGCAGCACTGGCAGAGTTGAAAGCGTTGGCAAATTTGGGTAAAGTGAAGTCGTTGTCACGAACTCTACACTTCTTACTTCTTAAAGCCATGGAACTTCAAAATGCAGATGAAATCTCACAAGGTATGGTTTTGCTTCATCATTTTCTTGAGAATCACCATCTTTTTGTACAGCTTGGTCAGAACCCCAGAGCAAATCAATCAGCCAATTTTCATTTTGTTATTTCTTTCTCACTCCGTGCCAAATTTCAGTGAGAAGTGCCTTCGCGCCGGATCTGGTTCCTTTGAACACAGTGGATAAGATGAGCGGGCTTATTTTGCTTGAATTAGGACGGAAATCAGATTTTGTAGAGCATGTGAAGGTAAAATGGGTTCTTTACAATCTGTGTTTCAAGCGGAATGCATTTTCAGGGAAAGCGCTTGGAAAACGATTATTTCCGTTTTCTGCTAGATCTGAGTGCCAAGCTGAAAACGGTGAGGGCTGCTGCGGATAATTATCTTAGAGGTCTCAAGCAACTTGATTTTGCAGCCATCTGTACTACAGTCCCTGCTCGATCTCTCCGTTCTTCTCCAAGTTCGACCTCATGAAAAAGCATCTCTTTATGATGAACTCATCAAGATTTATGGTAGTCGTTACGCTTTTAGGATGGTCCACTTATGATCATCCTATTTCTAGGCAAAAGCAAAGAAATAGATAGTCTGGAGAAAATTTGCGATTGTGTGCTGTCCGAAAAAGAAAAAGAGCATTACCGGCAGACTAAAGCTCGACTGGCTCATTTCTATAGGTGAGTGTAACGAACTCAAACAGATGTTCAAGCTGGTGCGAAAGTTTTAAGATTTTATTCCAAGCTCTACTGTTTGGCTGCTCTTTTAAAAAGCTGTTTAAAATCAAAGAGCTTCTCAGTACCTTAAACAAAGTTTTTTTTCCAATAGCAATTCAAAACTCTAAGAATCCCTCACATAATCCCCCTATAGCATTCATAACTTCTTATGTGAAATCTTACTGGACAAACCTACCTATGCCATTCGCCAAGCAGCAGCTCATATAAATTACTTGTGGCCAGGTATCCGTTTTGGAATTGAAGGTAACCTCAAGACCACTCCCCTAGCACAAATCAAATGGTCCGTCACAGCCTTGTACCATAACTTGCCTTGTACCGTAACTTCTGTCGATGCAAAGAGAGCGTCTGCTATTAGATGTGTTTGCAAAAAAAGAATTTTGTGCGCTAGAGGCAGTACAACCGCCATATTCTTTTTGTCTGTCAACAGTTGGCTGTAAGAAGGTGTGGAGGAAAAGGTGCTCTTCTCTTGCTGAGCGCGAAAGGAGCAACAATTTTCTACTTTTACAAAAGGTGCTTAGAGCACACATGAAGAAGGGGAATAACAATAGTTTGTATATGAAGTGGGCTCAGATTTTAGAAAGTGCATCCGCTGAAGGATTTTTCAATGAGTATATTGGGCGAGGCATATTTTTTATATCTCGTTGTTTGGCAAACGCTTCATTCTCATTTCTGTTTGAGGTGTTTTTGGTGGATAGCTGCGTAGCCAACTTTTCAGTGTGATTTTGTCGGGAGGAGTTCTTATTATCCCCACATTACGTTGACCCAAGCAACTGTTTTGGCTGATTGTCGAGGTTTCAGTAGTAAATGAACTCACTCTTGGCGATTTTTTAGATTGAGTAGAACGTCGCACTACTGCGCTGTGATGCGCTTATGAAAGTTTTGCAAAGCCATTTGTACAAACAAATCCGCAGCTTTTTATCGCAATTAGAAAAAATATCTACTACCGCAAAAAACCTCTAAGCTGCGCTAATTGTTGCAAGAGCCATTTCCTCGGATGCAGACAAACTGTACAACTTAACTCACAGCTGAGCTCTTCATGTCTTGCGTTCCCAGCTTCGCGTGTGTGCCTTTCTGGCTCGAACCCATCTGATCACCCGAGTAAGCGTAGGCGTAGGATTAGGACGTAATTCGTCTGTTATATTCGGTTTCTCTACATCATATTGCGTTCCTTTCTTTCGTTTCTTTTTTAGCATTGTTATGCTGTAGTAATATGATATTTCATCCATAGCTGTCATCTACGGTCTAGTCAGCTTTCTTCCTTAACTTGAACATAGCTTCCACTGGTTTTTCACTGTCGTATTATTGACGCAAATTTTGAGTGAGGAAACCGAGGTTACTCGAGCAAACCATCTAAGGGCTTCACAAAAACAGTAATAACAATTTAAGTGTCTAAGATTTTTACGGACTCTTAGGGCAAGCTTGATGTTTCAATGCATTTATAAGCAGTTCAATTCTTCGCTTATTTTCTCTCATCACGATCTGGATACTTTTTCCTCATTTTCTATGTTTTTTCTTCTAATTAATACAAGGCCTTGCCTTGAATTGTTTGGCATCCAAAAAAACTATACAAGCATCTGCGAAACTTTTGACCCCAGCATTTTCCTCATATATTCACGTGTCTCCCAAAAAGCGCCAAATTTCTACTGTCACATATCTTTCTGGCACATTGTCAGTACTGTTCATCTCAACATAGAACATCCTTATGTTAATGCATGACACTGTTGCACTTATCCTGTCTACTTTGATTACTCTAATAGTAACTAAGATTACAAGTACACTTTTCCACGTGCTCAAACCGCCTGATGGCGCTCTTGAAGCGAACACAGTTTCGGATTGCGCTTTTGACCAGAGGAAGCGATCTGTATTTGCGTATTTGTATCTGTACTTGTATTTGCGTAAAGATTGCCTCTGGTCCGCTTGCCTTTGAAAGTTGAGAAGTTCATAGATTGTGGACATATCTCGCGCGATTTTAGTCGCCAAGCGATTTGGCGATTCACCGGATGTCTTTACAACATTCGTGAACTGCAAATGATGTGTATAATTTTTTTTGAATGGATAAAATGCAACAGTCACACAAAATGCGCATAGGAAAGGTTATGAGCATTTAGAGCATAGCCCCAAATCGTGCGGGTGCAGCCGGAACCATACAGTGAAAATAAAGTACTTGAAATTTGCGGATAGACTGTCCACACATATGAGTAGTAGAACCCATTCTGTAAGCTATCATCGGCTCCCAGATTCGTGTCGAAACGTGTTGCGGACTTTCCTGATTTTCAGGACAAAATTGTTAACCCTCTGCGTTATAGCATTTTCGGACTCTCTCGTTAAGCTTATCCCTGAGATCAGAGAAGTCCGCAATTCTCCTCCACACGAATTTGGGAGCCGAGCGTACGTAAATGTGATATTTCCTTTCTTTCAGTGAGCTTTTACCAGTATGAATCAGTATTTCTGCAATGGTTCAAAAGAATTTGTTGAATTACTAATAAATGGGAAATAAATGAAAATGAATGTATTTTTTGCTGTTTAAACGGAAAATAGTATGCCGACACTCAGTCTATATACATCCATATTTTCAGGTGCCTTCGATTGGAAATCCCTACAAAACTACTGCGGGCATTGTGATTTATATATCTGAATAAACGAATCTCAGAGTTTCTGTTGAACATAATAATATTTCGCTAGTCTATTCAACGTTCCTTGCTACATCAGTATGGAGTCGAATTTTAGGTTTTGGCGGGTTTATAACTATCGCATTATCACAACTATTAGGTTAACTCCTTTTCGGACAACCGGAGTCAATTGCTACTTCTCGAATCTAAAGCACATATAGTTCTTTTATAAAATCGTGACGACGATACTGCGGTATTTGCGCCCACAACAGCAGAAAAAGGCATCACTTCAGTGCTGGGCTCAGTCATTTCTAACGTCTGTAAACAGTCATATATAAGCAGAAGAATTATCCGAGTAGAGATGAAAACCAAGAAAATGCGGTTGACGGGAGGTGCGTGCATGTCGCGCGCGGTCGTGCCATCGTCACGATTTTTCGAATGCGTACGTTAATATACATGTGCGAGAATCCGCAGGTATAACTCTCGCGTCTGTAGCTGATATTTCAGCAATTGGGAGTAGCCTGGGACCAATGGGAGCGGTCTGAATCACCAAGTCTTTCTTCTTGTTTGAGCTTTAATTCCATACAAACTGTGCACGTAAGCATAATAAGTAAGTGAATACTAGGAACTGAAGCATGTGGAGGTTTCATAACGTTCATAAAAGTGGGAGATCTGGATTAGGTTAAGATCCCATACTTAGGAATTTTCGCCTGATTTTTCGCAGAAATACTGATAATGCTTATGCTTGCCATAATTTTATAGAGATTAATTTCCTTTATCAGGCTCAGCTTCATCAATCACACACTCTTTTAGTGTGAGACCTGAATTCGAGTGTGGTAGAACTCTTGCAGCAGCTTACTGTAGACAAGTTGTCTTCATTTTCGGAGGGCTCTAACATTTGTAAGGAAGCCACTCAGATCATTCGTTTGAATTGTCACTTTATATCCGTAGGCGCACCACAACCGCTTAATTCACTATACTTGTTAAGCTTCACATTTGATGGTATCTCAGGGGCGCAATTTGGAATTGTGACAAGCACTTGTGCTCGTCACATTTTCAAAATGCCATTCCTGAGATACGGAGCACCCATTCGATCTGCGACAGCAAACACTTCGATTTTGGTTTACGAGTAGTGTCCTGTCAATTTCTGTAACGTCGTTTTTTTTACGAAATAACCATGTGGTGAGTGGACCCTATTTATTTCAATATAGAAATAACTTGACATAATAACTATGTCACGCGTCCTTTCTTTATTACAGTTGTTTTTGGCGAATAAGTTTCAATAACAGGGTCATATGTCAGACCGGCTACGTTTTTAGCTATCATTACGAAAGGATGAAATATAGCTGAGGCATTCATCTAGGTTATTTTGCGGGGAAATTCGTTCTCGTCATCTTTCGCTTCTCAACTGTCTTAATTTTGTTTATTTCAAATAGTAAGTAGTATATTATCGCCTTTCTGAGACTTTATGTCATTTCCGCTATTGTCTCTGTTTCGTCAGTTATACGAAGCTTTTTCAGTAAAAAAATTATTTTAAAAAGCATAGCAAGTTTTAATCAGTGACTCCAAGGGAAAAGGGGGGGGGGGGGGGGGAAGAACTTCTTGCTAAGGATATTGTATGCTTTAAATAAGCGTTCTCGATTTTCAAGCAGCAAATCAGCTGTTCTTCGCCGCTGGTCCCATAGGATACACCGGCTACATTTTCCTCCAAGATAGAGTGAGTTTAGATATTGAATGGATTAAAGAGGCATCAAAAACAGTCAAGAATTAAGATTGAAAAGGGAATGGAGGTAATATCCGAAACCTTTTCTTACCCCCCCCCCCCCTTGAAACGATGCGCAATAAATTCCTTTCAGTGAGAAAAATAAGAATGATTCGACTTTCCAGGTTGGAAATACTGTTAGGCTACATAAAGCTTATGCAGTAGTACATCTTAAAAGAAGTCACCATAAACGGGATTTTTCTGCTTGCTCGTGTTTTAGCCTCGTAATTTCATCTGCATAATGTAAAAAGCACAGATTCACATGTATCTAGTGGGTTAGAACAAAATTCTACCGCACCATTTTCAAAAATTCACAGTTTCTTGATTTTTCAATATTGCTTTTATTTGGAAGAAAAATCTTGCGCTTTGTGATGCGATTACGAGCACGCACAAGTTGGGTAGATAGATATAAAAACCAAAAAAATTTTGAATTTTTTGTGTTCATTCACAAAGATCTGAAAATTGCAGTAATTATTAGGCAGTCAATATTATATATTTCTTATCTTGCTTTTCATAACTGAGCAGAAATTATGCTGGTTGAATGCTTCTGCAAAAGTTATGTTCGAGAAAAATGCTAAAAAATCAAATTTGCATCTTTGTACGGCTTGCTCAAAAATCGCAATTTTTTTGGGAAACGTTCGATCAGCACAAACTTTGCCTACGTAAAAGAATCAGACCAAAAACCTATAATAGTGACTGTACCAATCATAATTGCAGGCTTCAGATTTTTATTCTTTCAAAAAATATAATGCATGCAAATGGGTTGAGAAATCAAGTTATGAATTTTTGAAAATGGTGCTACAGAACTTTCATTTCAATCTGATAGATCTGATTTTCGCTCCATATAATTTTTTTCCGCCCTCTGCACTTTCTGTGACTACTTCTTTAGCTGTCGACGATGAATATTTTTGATACAAAAATCCCATACCCCCTTTCGTAAAGCTGATTCTTGTAGGCTGGACTAGGCTCGGCAGCTTCAAAGTACCGTCGGTGGTGATTGAGTATTTCATTTTTTGGAGTATCAAACCAATCAATCGATAGAATTTTGAGGAATGTAATCACGAGTACATTACTGCTGAGAAAAATTTAAAATACATTCAAAGGACACAACAAGTACAAGATGGTCAAATTAAGAACGTACGTATATATTAGAGTTTGTTGTGAAATCGCTCACCTTTCGTAGTTCATGTCAGGCTGCCAAATGTGCGTAGTTCTGATTTGAGCATCTTGTATTTAGTACCCGCCTTATACTGTCTCAAAAGTATTTCATTGCTACAAAACTATCACTACTTTGAATGAATTGTGTGTATTGTTACACTAGCCCTTTGACAGTCCCTAGTCACCGAGTTCTATGATGCCGTTAAGTTGAAATATTTGTCTATATCTGTGGTCAAAAGAATACACCCAGTAAACTTGATTGGTTTTTTGCATGAATTTTTTCAACCAACAACAATCACTCATTATTGTCATTACAGGATTATCTTGACATTAATCTAACAACAATTTGCTACTTTTCTATTTTTTAGGATGCATTGAAAGAACTCTTTTAGACTTATTTAAACATTATTGTGTAAGGGTTTAATGTGCGATATCTACGATTGATTTGAGCAGCATCTGCACGCTTTGAAATCTTCACTAAAATTGTGAAGGCTTTTGAACATTCGTTTGAGAACTATCTCTGCTGTCAAATTTAAGGATTCGGCGGAGTGTCAGGACAATGACCGTGCCGAACTCCGAGCTTGTATGTATTAGGTTGTCCGGAAATTAATGCAAGTTTTGAATTCCAACCGCAATAAGTCATACACTTCTCATTTCTAAGTAGGTTGCAAGGTACCGCTCGATAGAGCAAAGCAAGCTCTACAAGATGGCAATCTTGATTTAGCAAAGCTCTAATCCACCACGAGTTTCGAGCCAAAAACTAAAAAGATTCAACTGCCCGAACAATTGAAAAAAACCGTAACTCAGTTCATAAAAATCCTACAAAAATTCCAACTTGCTCACGTAAACACAATCCACATAGGACATCTTTATACGCCGTTGCCGCATTTTCTTCTCTGTTAGAAATCAAGCAAACGGAAATTTTCGTGCATTTGCCAAAGTGATTCTGTCCTGTCCCCACATAGGTAGTTGTATACAACAAATCTGTAGAAGTGCAAACATAAATTTTTCTCTCGAGAAATATCAAATACAGTTTTCCTTAGTCATGTGGTCAAAGCTAAAATTCAAATTTCTCGAGAACTAAAGCTTGTAGAGAGCTGAAAATTTATGTTTGTACTTCTACAGGTTTGTAGTATACAACTACTTATGTGGGAACGGCACAGGATCACTTTGGCAGAAACTTGAAAATCTTCGTTCTCTTGGTTTCTAACAGAGAAAAAAATGCGGCAGCGGCGTATGTGGATTGTGCGGATTGTGGCGTATGTGTATGCCCTATGTGGATTGTGTTTATTCATTTATCTATTCATTTATCAGATACATCGTGAACGATGCACCACCACACAAATGAAATACAGGCAAATAAATATGGAACGGGGGTGGGAGAAAAAGGCAAGAATGACTTTGAATTTGCTTTCACTTTCGAGTCGTATCCGAATTACAAATCTTATAGAGTTTTTATAGTTTATGTGAGCAAGTTGGAATTTTTGTATTTTATGAACTGAGTTGCGATTTTTTTCAATTAATCGGGCAGTTCAATCTTTTTAATTTTGGCTCGATACTCGTGGTGGATTAGAGCTGCTGCTAAAACAAGATTGCCATCTAGTAGAGCTTGCTTTGCTCTATCGAATGATGTATTGCAACCTACTTAGAAATGAGAAGTGTATGACTTATTGCGGTTGGAATTCAAAACCTGCATTAATTTCTGGACAACCTAATACAAGATATTTCAAGCAATGTGCACACTGTTTGATCCTTAATTTTCTTGATACAAAGTCTTTCGCCGATCTCTAGGCATCTTTCTGTAGAGCTGGCTTCAGTTTAGTTAGGTTTGCCTGCGAAGCAACCATCGACTGTTATCATTGTGTAGGTTAACCTTATATTATAATTAAACAAGTTTAGGATGTTTGAAGAGGGTTTTGAACTTTCGAAAGAACCAGCCAACCTAGAATCTTTTACAGTGGACAATGGACAAAATGAGAATAGTCGTTTTGGTACGAATCTGCGCCTCACTAATGCTTCGTCTATAATTTAGGAGAAGTTGTGGCATCTAAATCATCCATTTTTCAAAAAATGTGATTGCGTGATTTTGAACAATTGCAGAACGGTGAAAAATTCAGCAATATTAAACGATACGCGTAAAAACCTTGCCGCACAATTTTTCAGGCTTACTGGAACGACAGCTAGTTTGCGATGACTATTTATGCTGGAAATTTCTATTTTAATCCTATAGTGATGAAGCACGATCATTCGCTTCTTACTGTAAGTCTGAGTTGAAAGCAGCTTTATAGGAAGATAGTAGGCCTTCACGACTTTAAGGCATGATAATAGCGATCAAATAATGCACTTATTTCGGGACACTTAGTATGTGGTTGTTCTTTTTTTCAAATTCTAAATCAGATTATGATCGGGTTGCAAAAATTATCGAAACCAAACACGATGCCAGAATAACAATGCTATGATGGTTTTACAGACGATTATTTGCTACATTAGGCCTACAACATAGAAAATATCCTCAAAAAAACTTCGCTTTATTTTGGTACAATAATCTGGCCGATGGTGGTTTTCTATATTCTTAAAACACCGCTGTCGCAAGGACAAAGTATTAATAAAAATGCTTGAAAAGCATCTGAAAGCAAGAAGAGCTCTACAGCGTCCTACATGACAGATATGCTAGAAATCTTCGGTAGCGATCGTGATCGAAAAAACAAATCTAAAAGCCTTTGGCACTTATCTTTCCTAACTAATGCAGTGTAACACCGATTTTGATAACATGGATTAGTATCGTTATGGAAGAGCTGCAGCATCTGGCTGCGGTAACGAAGAATGCCTAGCAGTATCACGATCACATTTTGGTTAGATGCAGTGTCTCGGCAAAGTTTCGCTCTCCACTTTTCACCTTCTCGGAGCCTTCTCTCCTTGCTGAACCCCTTTAGGCCACATTGAGCTTTTTCGAAGATCTCCAGGTCCGCATTCTGCGCAAATTACTTGTGAGTAAGCAGGGGCGGGGTCCGGAAAGCTTCCAGAGTGGATTTTGGGCTTTCCAGATGCGTTTCTTGCTCCGGATTTTTATGATGGATTAACTGGGAGGGAAGAGGGTCCGCAATTGCAATGCTGTAAAATTCCATCCCCCACCTTGCCGAGCTCTGCCTTCAAGAACTTGCTCTCTCGATTTTGTGCGCAAGAACCATAAAGCAAATCATGCAATAAGGAATGCTCGGTAGCTGCAGAAGAATTTATATCTCTGATACAAATAATTTTTGGGAGTTTTCTTTTTTATGCCACTCCAAGAGCCAATACAGTGAGTTTAAATCATTGCATTATGATTTATCATTATGAAAAATATTTGGCCGAGATTTCCAACGTCCCAACAATACAAATCAATACATTCACTAGGATACTGTAATGGATTCAAGTAGGAGGATGGGAAGCTGAGAGAAGAAAGTATTAGCGCGAAAATGTTGCCACTTCGAACACACACACAGCATTCCTTCGACTCACTACTTCTACGTAGGTGTGGTCATATGTTGACATTATATGTCGTGACATTTTACAATAACTGCAACACTTCTGCATGCTGGGAGACGAATCAGCACAACAAACACTATGTGATGGATGCGTAACAATGTAGTGGACAGTCGAAATCTCTGCTTCATCGAGGTGACCAAAAAATGAGAAGTAGGAACTCTAGCCTGACGAGTGGAAAATGATCGAGTAGATGTTCGTAACTACGCAGGTCTCACTCGTAAGAAGTTATCACTTGAATATCTTCCTCAAATTTTTTAATGTCACTTTTAGCACTGACAATTATAGGACAATTTAAGTACATTACAGCAACTTAGAGGTTAATGATCACTAATTTGTTTCCTGCCTATCATTCAAAACAGCCTTTTCGATGTACGTTCTTTTGTTACGATCATTTTCGTTTCAATAATTTTAAGCCGTGAATTTGCAACGATATGCCAAAAATCTATTTTGTTTTCGTTCATTTTCTACGTCACTTCCAAAATGGGATGATTGCGTCCATCGATTACGGTATTTACAACGTCAAATTCAACAATATATGAGTAATATGATGGAGATGACCCACAAGAGATTTTTTGAGTAAAATTTTTCATGTATATTCAGACGATAGGTCAGCTACTGCTTAAGACACCGCTACGCAAAGTTTTTTTGATTGTTCGAGTAAATCAAGAGTTTTTATTCAGAAGGGTTTTTTATAGCACGTTCAAAATCTCCAAGATAGCGGGGTAGATTGTATAGCCACTTATTCCAGAAAACGTAAATCTTGCTGATTTCAATGCAATTTTTCCAAAGAAGTCTCTAGCCGGAGAAACCATGAAATATTCCTACATCTGACATTTCCAGCAAATTGATTTTCAATTGACTCAGTGTTTGTTTAGAGGCTTTTCCAGTCAATTTCCACACTTCACAGTAATGTGCAAAATTACAAAGCTCTGAATCATCTTGGCTTCTTATTTTTTTGCTCTCGTTTGTGAAATGCTTATAAAGATGCGTTAAAGCGCTCTTCCCATGAAAATTATTTTGTAAAAAAAAGTGCAGGTAAAAAGGTAAAATGCGATTCTATTGGAAGTAATGCTGACCAAATGTGTATTTACCTTATGTACCGATGATTGGACTGTTATTCTTTCCTTTCAAGTAAGCAAATTTGAGACGTTGAGATTTTGAAAATATCTTAAAAGACAGGAATATGGAACACAAATGATCCGTCATTTCGAACACAAGTGAGAACCTCAGTTTTTTGAATAACAGAAGCCCCTAACTTTGACATAAAGTAATTTGCAATACTTGTCCTATCCTTGATCAGCCGACAAAGGAAAGATAGACAGGTATCATTGCAGACGTAAACGAAAGTGTTTTTGGAACAAAGGAAGCGTGTGTCTGACTTGCGACTGGAACGTCTAAATATAGTTTCTAAGGTTTCTGGTCGTGTTGTTCTCTTGAACGCAAGCCAAAAAGTTGTAATAGGTGCGGAAAATGAATAATAATAATAAATGAATAATAGGTACTTAGGTAATGACCGGACTATCACTTAGGTTTTTGAAACTTTGGAATGTTTCCACTTTTTGGATTCACAGATCAGTTAGGCGCCAAAAATACGCCCTGGAATGTGTCACTTTCTGAATGAAAAAAAAACAAGTTTTAGTTTTTAAGTCTTGTAGAAGCTTCTTGGTTCACCAAGGGTGGCACGAAATGTCTTTAAATCGTGGTCCGAACTTGGTACCACCAGGATTTAGGGATAGAGGTGACATTTACTGACACGGAGCAAAGCGTATGTTATTACAACGCAATTTTTGAAGAGCTGACACTTGAGGCAGGATTTGAAAAAATTGGAAAAGTTTCGAAAAAACACTTTATTCTGAGGTCATTTAGGAACAATATGAACTCACAAATCAAATCAGGTTTGCACTTGCCTGTTAAACTTACAATGAACGAATAATCTAGTGATGGTTATTATAAGTGTTAACATAAATCAGTTATTACAAAAGTGCAAATTTCTTGAGTTTCAGGCGTTAAAGAAAATTTGCCAGAAATGATGTCTTAAAATTGTCGAACCTTTGGGCTTAATCGGCTAGGGCAACTTTCTCAGAAATTTTGAGTACTCTACTAACTTTCGCACCGATTTACAAGGCATTAAATCAGCTTATGCCATCACATGGTCGTCATAAGAATGATTCTTGTCCCAAATGGTCTACATAATATATAGTAGGGTCTTGAGTTGTTCTAAAATCGAAAGGTCAACTGATCCTTATGGTTCTATCACGCACAACTCGTACTCGGTCGTGCACTTTCAAGAACGCGTCGTCCTTCGCCGCGGGTTGTAGGTGTTACTTCCGTCGCGGCGGCGCCGGTGCACCTCCCAATCATGTCCTGCCCGAGAAGAGGGGGGGGGGGGGTAAAGTGCCCTCCTCGAGTGTGTTCTTTCTGTTTTTGTTCGCGCTCCTGGTTCTGCTCAGTGTCTCGCCACCTGATTTATGTCCAACTTCAAATGCTCTCAACTTGTACTATTCTTTCTTCACGGCGTCAACTGCACCAATCTAGCCTCGACACCGATATAAAGGTCGTACTACCTGCTCGTCGTCTACAGATCCGACTCTTCATCTACCTACTCCTCTATCTAACTACCTGCTCTAGGCTCTAGTGTCAACTACGATCATGTATGCTACACATACCGTTGCCCTCTGCTTATTGGCTTTAGTGGTAAGTTTGTTTGCACTAGGATTCTTCTTTATAGACAGACGTAGTAACAAACACAGTAGTTCTGATTACTGTAAATCATTGATCCCTTACCCAAAGGGGAGTTGTCAGATTGGTTTTGTTGGCCTACTATTCCTCTATCTGTCCGAAGTCACTTACTGGGACTATTCAAGCTATTCAATCTATAAGCTCATAAAAGTTTCCTCACCATAGCAAAAAGGGTTGAACTATATCTAACTTGCGTTTCGTTTCTTCTGCTATTCAGAAAGTAGATTAAGGTACGACAATTTTCAAATCTCATCAGTAGCGAGGAAAGGCCGTAGGAATTCTAAAGATATTAGCACATTGGGAAAATGACCATTCCTTCCTTAATCAAGCATATAATTTTCAGTTATGTGCTGAACCCAAGGAAGCTGATGAAACTAATGTGAATGCTACGGAACATATTCGTTCTAAACGGCTCGCGCTCCACCCCTCTCAATGGGCTTTACAGTAAGTTTCCTAGCTTTTGACTTATCTTCCCCAACCCTAATCCAGGTATGGTTTTTGATTCCTTATTATTTTCAGCCTCTGGCCGGGAGGAGTAGTACCATATGAAATAGCACCACATTACACTGAATGGGAAAAAAGTGTGATCTTGTCTGGCATGGCCGAGTTTCCCAAACACACGTGCATAACATTCCGACCGAGAACCAAAAGTGATAAGTATTACTTGGCGATCAACAAGTACTATGATTTGGAAAGGTGAGTAAGCGAATTTTTGGCTTAGGAAGGGATCTTAGCAATGGTGTTGTTTCTTTTAGGTGTTTCTCCTACATCGGTCGACAAACAACGTATCTGTTCCGGACAGATGAGGGAAACGTTGAGACACGAATGAAACTCGATCCGAGTTGTCTAACGGTGAATGGACGAGGAACAGTCATGCATGAATTGATGCATATCATCGGCTTCTATCATGAACATCAAAGGTAGGAGAAATTTTCATATTTTGGAATGTGGGCGGAAGGCAACAATATCAAATTTTCGCTACTCAAAATAAGCGCTCAGCCCTTATCGTTTTTGGCGGAAAAGAATCGGGATTGGGTTCTTTGGTCCTGACGCGAACTGTGGTCCCGACACGATATAATGACGTGGATCCAAAGTGGGCGGTGCTTCAAGTTGCTTGCGTTTTGCACGTACTGTCGCCTTCCATGTGCCCTCCCCCCCCCCCTTCCCAATTTCTATTTCTTTTTTTCAACAAGATCAAAAAATTTTCAGGGATGATCGCGACCCGCGAGTGACCGGAAGCTCGTCTCATTACAATTACAAGGTGTATCCGAGGGCCTCGACGTACTACATGGGTGCGTACGATCCGAAGTCGATTATGCACTACAACTTCCCGGGGATCGTCTACCCGCGAACGTACTTTAGCCCAACGGATATTCTTCGCATCAACACCTTGTATAGGTGCCCACAGGTGAAACCCAAAGATTTCAAAAATCCGTCGGAGCAACGACGTTTCTTTATACAACAGAGGCGAAGAATTCCTCTTAGACCTATTTGGCGTAAAAATTTTGGTGAGGTTTAGGCACTTTTTGCCCTCTAAAGTATTATAGGCTATGCTATGGAAAATTATGTCCTTGTTATTAATAGATTTATAGATTGTGTTGTTCTATGTGTGTATTGCTCAGCTTTGCAATGTTGCAATGTTGCAATGCCTCTATCTGTGATCTATGGTTATTGAAAAATTCTGATCTCAATAAAAATGATATTGTACTGCCCATTTGTAGATCAAATCGGTGGTGTAGACCAAATTGATGGTTTAGATATAACATCAGAGCACAATTTCAGGCTAAGGCCTCGTGCTAAACTAGACAAATTTCTATATCGAGCAATTTATCAGCTCTACATTTGGCACAGTGCAAGATATGAAATAATGTAGTAATGTGGTCGAAATTCGGTTAGACTGTACATTTTTCAATTTTCAAAGCTTGAAAATAACAGTTCATTTTTCAATTTTCAAAGCTTGAAAATAACAGTTGTCTATGTCTGTTGTCCTAATCTAAAAAACTAGCTAGATTTCTGCAACTGTTAAAGTTTTCTGCAGATAAGGTAGAGCAACTATATCGTCATTAGGTGGCTTCTGACCTACTGGTCCTCACATAGCGTGCAGCAGCGTATGCTTGTAGGATCAGTTGTCCGCGGGGGCAGCGTCTATTGGCGATATCTGTTTTTCGGACAGGGGCTATATGTCGCCGATAGGCTTTCCCTTTTGCAGGCAGCTGGTACTAATCTGTATGCCTGTAAACTATGGGGCTGCTCGCCTTGTCGCAGATGTCCGCATGGAACCACCCCCTTTTGGTGACATATAGCCCTCTACCCCTCTTTTTTCTCTCGACTACGAACGGTTAAATCAAATCAATGCACTATGAACCAAATAAATATTTTGTATCTTCATTGCCTAATTTGCCCTGATTCCCCTAAGTAGCCCCTAATTTTTTGTATTTTAGACCACCACGACGATGGAATCACCGACAACCACGTCTACACCTTCAACAACTACACCAGCAGCAACTCGTCCAACAACACGAACAACTCGTCTGCTCTGGTTCAAAACTAGTCCTAGTGCTACAACAACTCGTCCGTCACCAACGACAACCACGCCCACTACCACAACAACCCGTACGACGCGATTGACAGTCACGCCCACTACACGGATTTCTCGTCCGATCTGGTTCGAAGCTGCAAGAACAGCCAAGACAAAGCCTTGGTGGGCGACCGAACTGACCACGACTGCCAAAACACCAACGACAAAGCCGTGGTGGGTAACGACAACCACCAAAGCACCCACGACCAAACCCTGGTGGGTAACCACAAAAGGGAGTGGTCCAATGTGGTGGACTACCACCAGCTCTTCAAAGATGTCGAAGGGTGATGAAGAACAGCTTGATAGTAACGGGATCCTTCGAAGAATGTAACTCTATTACATCGTGATTTTATTGTAAAAAAAGAAAATGGAGTGAGTAGGAAAGTAGGGTTGAAAGGGGCAAAGAACACACACTTCACTTCTTTCTACCGGGTGATCTATGATATTTGGTGCTTGAAGCTGTAATAAGTCCTGTGATCTCATGTATCTGCTGTTAATATGTATCGATTTTCATTGTATTAAAATGTACATGCACTCTGTTTGATGATATTGGCAAGGAATTCAAATTGATTATCTCAATTTGTCGAACATTTACTCGTATTGGCTTTTGCGACAGTGTAAGATATTTCTTAGAAACACATGATAATATTACAAATTCTAAAAGCTGCGATAATTTCAAATGGGCGAATCGCACTTTTGCTACTATAGAAAAGAAGGTTCAGAAGTATAACATGCCAAATTTGGACATCTGCCCAGATGACCCTTTCAGCAGCAGCAAAAATGATAAAGAATTTATTTCGATTAGGAGGATTATGACAGACACTACGAATTCCTTCCTGAAAAGTTGGTTCATATTGAAACTGCTTTTCTTCCAGCTAGGTGTTAACAACCATGAAGTGAAAATTTTGCCCACGAAATCGCATAAACACAATGTTAGAAGCATTATTTTTCACGAAATTTCCCATAAAATGAGCCACATCGTGAGGCATACATGAATTTCAAAAGATTGCTCAAATTCGTTGCTCTCCCAACTTCCCAACCTCTCCAAGCTACAGTACACAAATTTCACACGTCACCAGAAGACCAAAAATAAAACGTGAAAATGCAAGATATGGAAAAAGAAAGTTTAGCCTGAAGATGGGAAACGGTGACAAGTGTACTAGTAGTAGCAAAGGGTGACATGTCGCATTCTTTTTGATCAGACTGGGTAAGAGCGCAACATCTCAAAATAGACGAGCGAATCCTTTCTGATATCGCCCCAAAGCTTATGAGGAGTCCATTTCAAAAAACCTCTATAAATAATCTACAGTTCCATAGAGTCGTTTACTTTGAAATCTTTGGCCATTCAACATCCTCATGTCGAGCTGTTTCGATCACGGGATACTCAGGGTACCTCTTTACCACACGTTCATTTAAGTATTAGGTTGTAACATAAGTCTTGTTACACTTCAACTCTTACGGCGATAAGTCGTACACCAACATTTTCAGTAGGAATCCAGGTCACTATTCGATAGAGCAAAAGAAGCTCTACAAAACACTATGCGAAAAAAATCTATCATATCTCCTTCCAAAAAATCTACAGATCTCCAACTTGCTTAAGGAATGCAAACTACATCAGACACTCATACACCATATGCACCACCCTGTATTTTTTTCCTTATCTAGAAAATGAGAAAACGAAATTTTAAGTACATACAAAAAAGAAGCTATGCTGTTTCCACTCATGTAACAATATACTACAATCCCTTAAAAGTTTAACCGCAAATTTTTAGCGTTCCGCAAGCCTTATTTTTAGAGAAATATTGATTTTAGCATAGAACACCCAAGTAAGGAGTGATAAACTCGATAATTTTTTTAAAACTAGAGCCTGGGGAAAACTGAAAATCTACGGTTATACTCCTAAAGGCTTGTAGTATACAGTTACGTGAGTGGAAACAGAATAATTTTTTTGTGCACAAACATGATAACCTTCGTTTTTCGTTTTTAAATGAGAAAAAAATAGAGAAACGGCATATAAGTGTCTGATGTAGTGTGCGACTTTTGTGAGCAAGTTGGAGATTCGTAAAATTCTTTTGAGTTATATCCGACTATTTATTGAACATTGCTAATCTAATTTTAAGAACGAGAACAATACTAAGCTTATGCAATTTATCAGTTTTGAGGGTAACGAAACCCCGCGTTTTACTTTTGATCTTCGTGATGAAGTCTTATCGTTTAGTTTCAGATTTACTCGTTGTTCCATCCAGCATTAATAATCGCTAAGAGCCAAAAATCAGCTAACAAGGGAATGGTCAAAAGTCGAAGTGGCCAATCCATACAAGCTGCATACCAATCGATGCAGCATAGAATGCTGACTTCAAATGTGTCTTCCTTATCTGCAGAGCGCCTTTGTGGGCGAAGTTATGAGCAGCTTTACTGAGGAAAAATCGTCCACAAAAACTGCGAAATTAGGCAGATCACTGCTCTTTTAGCTCACCTTTGAGTACGAGCCATATGAACTGACCTAGTTACACGTTTTGGTCCAAAACTGAGCCGAGAATGGCCTTGTACGGCCAAGTTTGACCTTTACACGCACAATTTCTTAGCAAAATGATGACATTTAACGGCTCATAACTTCGCCTACAAAAGCGCTCTGCAGATAAGGAAGACAGATCTGAAATCAGCATTCTATGCTGCATCGAAAGGTATGCAGCTTGCTTGAATTGGCCACTTCGATTTCTGACCATTCCCTTGTAAGTATTCTCCTTTCGGTTTTCCTCTCCGCAACTTTGCATAGCGCGAATTTGATCAAAATTTCGCCGACATGTAGAAGTGCTGCAAGGTCATCAGGCTCAAAGGCAGCTTCCACCCAAAATTTTGCCTCCAATATTTCTGTCATTCCGGGGCCTTTTTGTGGCCCTGATTACATTTATGAAGTTCAAATTCTCCAAAACCTTCAAAAAACACGATTTCTGGGGACCACTCTTGAGGGTGCGAACGGCTTTTACATGGGTGGGCGGAGGATCTGGGCGGGGTCTGGTAGCATTTTGGCTGTTCCACGCCCCTTATCTCCATTCAGAGACAGCATTAGAGAACCGGACCAACGCAGATGCTAATCTAGGGGAGCCTATATTCAGGACCGACCCTAATCGGAGAAGGTTAGGTTCAGCCTGGACACTGCTCTCAAGACAGACAGTTCAAGAGGTCTTTATAATTTACTCTCAAAATCATGGAAATGTTAGGTGTGCCAGTGTTAAATGGGCAGATTTTCACAAAAATGGAAGTATGTACCAAAAGCGTATATTGCAACGAAAATGGGAAACTGGAATAAGTTAAAAGGCAAAAAAAAACCGTAATGGATGACTATTATCTATCTAAAACTAGGGGAGACGAAAACATTGTGCGCTCCTGCATCTAAAGAGTCGGGCATACTTCAAGCGATTTCAGTCGCGATGCGATTCGGCAATTCGCCAAAAGTCTTCAGATCCAACATTAGCGAGCTGCATATGCATAGTGTGTATAACTTACGCGAATTGATAAAATGCCCTGTTTTCTGTACATTTAAAATGTGCTTACAATGAGTTATGGACAGTTGGAATATTGCCAAATGCGTCGCGACTGAAATCGCGTGAAGTGTGCCCGGCTCTTAACTTGCACATCACTTCGTTCAGAATGTAATGTGTTGACACTTTGAGGAAGAAAAAAGCCAAACTTATCAATCAAATTTGGAAAGCATCACGATTCTCATAGCATCAGGAGGGCGTGCAGGAACCTCCCAAGTTTAGCACCTCAAAGGGATGCCGGCTTCCAGTTTTGCACGTGGGTGACACGAGGCGCGAAATGAGTTGTTCAGACTTGTTCAGACAAACGCTTAAAGACAAGGCAATGTCCGGGCAAAAGCTCGATTTTGAGATTTTGTGCTTATACGGGCCTATTCGCTATGCTGAATCCGAAAATCCACATTGGAAAGCGCGAAAACGGCGAAAAAGGGCTCTAATATAGGAGGGAAATCAGCAGGTGGGCGGGGCTTTCCCCAGTGCGATTTCACGCTCCCAGCTCCCGGAGCTTTTCTCGATTCCGCTAGCCGTTCTAACATCGTTACCGGCTAAGTGCGAATGATTGACTTGAAACCGGAAGCGAGAAGGTCGCTCCGGAAGCCGGGAACGTGAATTCGCAGTGGGGAAAACCCCGCCCACCTGCTCATTTCCCTCCTGTGTTAGAGCCGTTTGTCGCCATTTTCGCGCTCTACAATGTGCATTTTCGGATCCAGCGTAGCGAATAGGCCCAAACAAGCACAAAATCTCAAAATCGAGTTTTTGCCCGGACAATGCCTTTAAAGGCAGTGTCCGGGCAAAAACTCGTTTTTGAGATTTTGTGCTTATACGGGCCTATTCGCCCTGCTGAATCCGAAAATGCACATTGTAGAGCGCAAAAATGGCGAAAAACGGCTCTAACACAGGAGAGAAATGAGCAGGTGGGCGGGGTCCTCCCCACTGCGAATTCACGTTCCCGGCTTCCGGAGCGACCTTCTCGCTCCCGGTTTCAAGTCAATCATTCGCACTTGGCCGGTAACGATGTTAGAACGGCTAGCGGAATCGAGAAAAGCTCCGGGAGCTGGGAGCGTGAAATCGCACTGGGGAAAGCCCCGCCCACCTGCTGATTTCCCTCCTATATTAGAGCCCTTTTTCGCCGTTTTCGCGCTTTCCAATGTGGATTTTCGGATTCAGCATAGCGAATAGGCCCGTATAAGCACAAAATCTCAAAATCGAGCTTTTGCCCGGGCACTGCCTTTAAAGACAGGCAGGCTAAAGCGGGCTTTCAATAGAATTCAAATGGAAGATAGGTAGTCAGGAGACTTACTCTTAAATAAAAGCACCAAAGGCTCACTAAGCTGCGGAAAAGAAGAACAACTTTGTACGACGTAAGAGCCAACTTCGAATATGTTTAGGGGCCGTATAAACTTAATTTAATTTAAATGCAATTTAGGTCATTCTGTATCTCAAGTCACTTTTTCTCACTGACGTTAGATAATGTCTGATCGTAATCTCAAAACAACCCAGACTTATGAAGAGGTGTGATACGTGCATTTAGAAAAGGCGCTCAGCTTTGGGAGGATGATGACACGCCGCCCATCGGAATAAATGACACCATGTAAAGGGAAAATAACATCGCAAAGTTGCGACAGCTGCTTAGAAAGAAGATATCGTCCACTCCGAGAATGCTGCTTTCCCTGCTCGCGTCTCTGACCTAAGCATGGCGAACATGTTGGCAACATGTAATAATATGCTGGAAACAACGATGGCTATTACATAGACTTAGGACTAACATGTTGTTACATGCTTCAACATGTTGTTGCATGTGCGATCAAGTTTCAGCCATACATCAGAGACGCAGAGCATGTTCTGCATGGTAGAAACCTTGAGGTTATTGTAAGGGTACGGTACATTAACTCATTGACGACGATGTGGACCACCGGTGGCGCACGCACTTTTTGCTGCCAGGGGCGATGGACCACCGGTGGCCTACAGCCCTTGCGAAATCATATGCTTTCCAGATTTAGTATTTTTTCCACAGTTCAGTATTTCTTCCAATTTTTTGCACTCTTAGAATCTGTACACTTCATCGTCCAAGAAGATGATTGTAGTTTTTACAAAACAGCTTACATCTCGTAAATAATCACAGAACTTTCCCACGCCGAAAGTATGGGGAAAATCGCGTCGTCCCACAACGCCATCACCCAAAATTAGGCGTCGTCGTCAATGGGTTAATCTCGCTTCAAAGGCAGCGGCTTGACAGAATGGCAACTTTGGGATATTCATCGTTCTGGGTTCCCCTGGATGAGCCAGGTTCAAGATCTTCAAAAGATATCAAAAACAACTTTTCACGTCTGGCCCTGTATTGCCCAATTTGTGCTTTGCGTGCACAATTTCTTAGCAAAATAATGGCTTTTAACGGCTCATAAGTTCGTCCACAAAGATGCTAAGCAGAATGGAATACAGATTTGAAGTCAGCGTTTTATGCTGCATTCGATGGTATCCAGCTTGTTCGGATTGGCCACTTCGCTTCTGACCATTCCTTTGTGAGTTGTGAGAGTGTGTTGTATAGCGCGAATGTGTTGTATACAGCTTACAAGAGTCCACGAGAAAACTAATTTCGTATTAACATGACTTCTGGTAGCATTTAGACGTTTTGTAATGTCTGTAGTATGTGATTTTTTTTCTTGTTTTTTCTCTTTTTCTCATACATATAGCTACTTACGCAAAACTCATTTCCGATCTTAAATTTGCTCGCTGCACGATGTCATCAGAATCTATCAGATACTCAGGCAATTGAACGGAAGTTCCGCTGGACTTTCAGGGGAAGAACTTCCAACAACCGCTTGTGGAAAGTGCTGCGAAAGTTCCCTGCTTTGAACAGTTTGGCGTCTAATTTCAGCGGAAGTTCCCATTTTCGGCCCCTACTTCTGTGATAGCAGACGAAATCCTTTGAAATTGCTGCAAATCTTTCTTGTCCTGCGGAGTTCCGTGGCTTGTTCGAGCAGAAACTGTAAGAGAGACGTATTTTTTCTGTTCACATCATTCTGTTTAGTGCATTTGTGACCGAACAGTCTATGAGTAAATCCTTGATGTTCGTCCTTCACGAAATTTCTTGCACTCATTCTTTAATCGTCAATTTAATGTCTTTGCAGGTTCAAAATTGATTTTGTACTTTCAAGTACACTTAACCTCTCGAAGGATGTGCAGCAATCTTTCATCTTACTATCGAAATGCCGTAAAGAGTGTAGATTAGTGAGAGAGATGCATTGCTGCTCTTTTGCTCGCATGTCCTTCAAATCTTTCATTGACATACTCAACACAAAATCGTTGTACGTAGAGACAAATTTGAACGAAAGCTGGCACCATAAAATAAATTGGGGGAGGGGTGGGGGACACAGCCAGTTTTTTCAGTTGGGTTTTCGTGATGGAGTTATAGAGGATATGATTAATATGGAAAATCTAAAATTTTCTTTTCTTTTACTGTATCTGCTTCACGCTCGACCTTTTTCGTCTTCGCCATCATTATACTTCTGCAAAGGTCGCATTAATAGGAATAGCAATATTCAAAAAATATGGCTATAAATTTCTTATACGAAAATGATTTTGAGGCTTCAACTGAGTCATTGTGCACGCAACATCTCGGTGGATCATTTGTGAGCAAGAAATCGAACAACAAGTTTTGCCCAGTACCGTACCCTTCGACCAATCAACATCATCGAGTACGATACTGGGGGAAAGCTCGGAGCTGTATTTCTCTGCCAAGAATTAATATTATAAGATGCTATTTGGGCAATGGTTTAGTTGAAGCCTTCCGATCAGTGCGATCACCATATAAGAAGTCCGAGTTATCAGATTTGCTTGGACACTCGACAAAGAAGTAAGCATTGCTCACTTTATTAACCTCTTCAAGTAGTTTGCGCAGACCCGTCGCGTCCGGTCGCTTCTCTGGGTCATGATTCCATGCCAATTCCATAATCGCTACCATTTCTTCGGGCATAGCCGGTGGAGGAGGCATTCGATACCCAGCCATGACTTTTTGCTAAATTGAATTCTGCTGAGCGTCCGGCACATGTAAAGAACAATGGTCATTTTTTTCTGACCTTAACGGTGTAGGCTTTCCATTCTGCATACGGAGAGTGATAGGGGATTTCGAACATTTCCCACAACAGCACTCCATAGGCATAGATGTCTGTGTTATTCTTAGTCTCACCATTTCGCCATACCTTAAAGTGCTTTCACTTTTATTTCTTGGAACAGCAATCTTACATGAAAAATGATCACATTGAGCGTTCACTGAAGTACTCAAAGGTTAAAAGCGCTCGTTAACTTGTTAGTCTCAAAGAACCATGTGTTTTATGACGTCATGCGACCACATAAAAAAGAAGTCACATTAGTGATCAAGTGATTAAATGCAGACAATTGATCTGTTCGACAAAAACCGGTCGAACGTAATGTGTCCCCTCTACCAAGGAAAGTTGCCATTTGCAGCGAGTACAGACCAAGTGCAGGGTCACAGAGCAGGTACGGTCAGAGAACAGCAATAAAACCCGTCGCTGTTGTCTCGGCTTTTTTTTTTGCTGAGTATAAATTGGAAGGGAAGGTAGCAAAAAATAGCGAGTAGGTTGTGGGAGGTGGAGGGGGGGGGGGAGAATAATGATCACGCTGTAAATGCATACTTCCATCTACACCTTCTACCCCCCCCCCTTTCCAATTCAGTTTGGCATCATAAAAAATAATGGGAGGTAATTTTGCCAATTTTCAGTGACTATAGTAATCTATTTCGGAAATATCGAAAAAAAATTCGGTGTTTGACGGCCATTCTTCCGCAAACTTCAGTGTATTGAAAATCAGAAACACGAAGGTTCAGCAAAAATTCAGCCCCCCCCCTATACAGATAAATTGATAAATTAATACAGATACATTAGTCACAGCATAATTTAAAAATGTCGAAAGGGAAGATGAATTTGCGATGAGTGGAAATTCGTTTCCAGGGTTTGATATCTAATTCATCGATACCACCCCAAATCAAACGCAAATAGGAACTTTTGCGGGAGGAGGGAGGGGGGAGAGACGTGGGTAGTGGATGAACCGATTTAATGCTTAAGCTTCTACTGTGAACTACGGTGATCTGTGATGCCTCAGCTCTATGAAGCTACCTGGTTGATGTTCATAAGAAAGTTCAAAAAAAGTGTGTCTATTAAATAATAAGCGTGATGATCCTGTATAGGAGTGACTGATTAGCGCATCAGGGCCTAAAGTGTGAAATTCTCGACCAGACACCAAGATAACGCACTGCGACTCTGGACGCGGTAAAATAAAATGACTTTCGTTTTTGAGACATTTAGGTCAGAGGCAGATCGCTCAACTTCGCCTTCTCCTAGAGGGGCGATGACGATGGAAATACTCGTGGTTATATGAGATTGGTCAAAATGTTAATAAGGGTAGGCCTACTTGATTTCTCATTTACCCCTTCCAGTATACTAGCAATACCAATAGAGAACGCGCAAAATCTCCACAAACATGGCGGACTTTCGCGAAATTCCCGAAGTATGCGACATTGCAGGAATTTTGCGAACCACGCGAATCAAGCAAACTACACAGCGCAGACCTCCTTCGGATTAAATGTATTCTAAATTCGAAAAAGCATTGCCTCAGCTAGGCGAATCTTTGACATATAGTATGTGCTCGAGACTCCATCTCCAGTTTTTTTTTCAATATTTCTGCAGACGTCTTCTTGCTAACAAGGGAGGTCGAATCAGTCGAAGTGGCCTTTTCAAATGGGTCATATACTATTTTGAAGAGCGTTAAACGCTGATTCCGAATCTTTCGTCGTTATCTGCCGAGCGCCTCTGGACGCCGAGTTATAAATGTTTTTTGGAGCGAAAAATGAACGCAGAATTCAAGTAAAATTGACTATTACGGACTTTTCAGCGCCTAAACAGAGCAACATGTAGTATGAGTGTTTTGGGCAGAAGGTATCCTTTGAAATGGAGTGCTCTAATAACCAACATTGGACCATTTGAGCAATTCTGACGAATTTTGCTCTAATTACGCATTTAATTTTTCAACCCAAAGAACGCTCATAACTCGGCGTCCAGAGGCGCTCGGCAGATAACGAGGACAGATTCGGAATCAGCATCCTAAGCTCTATAAGACAGGAAACATTTCAAGATGAAATGCCACTTCGACCATGTATCCTTCCCTTGTAAGATGTAGAACATCCAAATCATACAAAAAAATTCCAGTAATCTTTCTATGAAAAGACCCTGTACATTGTAGGGACCACGATTTTCGTAAACAGCGTGATCCTAAACTTCTGGAAGCGAGGTTTCTTTTCGATCCGAGATCATCAACTTTTTTGACCAAAATTCATCGGCAAGCTTCAGGTCGCAAAACGAGAGAAGATCAAATAACCTGAATTTCTTAGAAAATTTGCTCATGAAGTTATCCGACCTGTTGATTACGAAAATTACATCTGCTCAGCTAGACTGCTTCACGTATTATAATTACTTACGGCGAGTAGACTGGGACGACGTAATTTTCCCGAAAGTCACCAGCTGTTCTTTCTTTTTAAGAAGTCTCCGGCTGCTTTTAGTGCTCGATAATCTACGGTAACAGCACTATCGAAAACTGCTTACTGGAATTTTTTTGTGTGATGTTCGCTCCGTTACATCCTTGCGCCCGCAAAAAATTTGAAAAAACTGAAAATGGATCATCGAGGTAGGCTTTATATCGAAAGATTTGTATTAGTGAAGAGCTGTGCACAATGCTTTATTTGGACACAAAATGCATTCATTCTGAAGGAAGTCATAGGCAGCATAGTTTACGTAATTCACTGATTTTGCGAAATCTCGGAATGTCGCAGAATTTTTTGAATTTGGCGGAACTGGAAGTTCGCAAAGTCGCGCGACATTTCGTGGAAATTTTGCGATTCTGTGAGCGACAATCGATGTCAACGAAGCGCTCCCTTTTCCAGCAGAGAGGCGTCCGCTCCACCAGGGCCGATCGTGCCGATCCCGTTCGATGAGGTGAGTTATGCATGCGCAAGCTATACGCGCGCGAACGCGACGCGAGGCTCTGAGGTTGCGATGTGGCTGGGGGAAAAGGGAGCACAAGGTTGACACGGACCGTATACGTAGTGCTGGAAAATGTCTGCACTTTACTTTGTTGAAGCCTATTCAACGCGGTAGCGAACGACAATTCAATTTATCTCCGTTAAAACGGCTTTTATTACGCCGCAATATCAAGAAATAGCTAATTTAAGTAAGTTGAACTTATTTAATGTAAGGGATACATGATTAGAATATGTAAGACGTATATCCTACATTCAACATTGATTCTTCGTGAAAAAGGGGAAGTAGTCCGACGAGATGTTACAGCTAGTGTACAGTCAGCAACCCGGAGTAGGCAAAACATTTTATGTGATAACTGATTGTATGAAACTCATTGCGAGTTGACCTCTACCCTATACTGAATGTTAATCGGGTTGATCTGCCTACCATCCTCTATGAAAAACTAGAGGCATCATTGCTTCACGACAAACAGATGAAATTCTTTAGAGCGTGAGTTTGTAAAGTGGCGCGTCGCATTGCTGCAGGCTTTGCAAGCGCACAGTGCTGGCATTTTGTCAAGCAAAGAGAAAATTTTCTGGCTCTCGGGTAACCAAGAAACTGTCTTACATTGCCCTAGTTTCATGTGTACAAGGCGCACCTTTTCTGATTTTTCAACCGAGCCGCTCAGTCGCTGCGCTGTGTTTCGGAAAACGAAACTTATGTTTGCATGATACTTTCAGGCGATATATAGCACTGCATAAGGCTTTGGTCGTGAAATCCTTAGGCTTGTCTGGCTGTTCAATTTAGAAAAACCCTGCGCCTTGTACGTGTGAAATTGAGGTACCCCATTTTGAAGTGTACACGTCGCCTTTGACTGCTCGAAATGCAAACACGCCATGCATTCCGCGTGCCCTGAGGTTCGTTAACTGAGGTGAGGAACTGGTAGGGGAGAGGATAGCTTTACAGGGTGGCGGCCCAGGAGTTCCCAAAGCCTTCACAGGGCACATGCGCCCCAGGTTTGCTCGCGTTTAGATCAAACTGGGTGGCTTGTGCAGCTGAACATAGGGTACATAATTCAGTCTTCAAACGAACTTGCTTTCGTATCGTTCTTTGAATCCCGAGGAATGCGCGATGGCGAACTTTGACCAAGGCTCGAATGTTTCACAGATTTATGTTCTTTAAGATTCTTATCAATGAATTTCCCATGCTTGCTTTTAGTATGTTTATATTCGCTCATATATTTAAGCGGCTGACACAGTTCAGCAAGCACTGGTTTTGTGTTTTGTATGTCATCGTTCAATTGTTTCCTTATTGTTTCTTACTTTGATTCTTCATCATTACCGATTGCATCCTTCCCACAGTTGCTCACTACCCCACAGGACCCTCACAGCGAAGTCACGGCCTCTTGCACAGACCCCTCACAGCAGCTCACAGTGAATCCGATTGACATATATGGATGTTATTAATATACATATATATATTAATAATATATAATGATAATAATATATATATTAATATATTGCTTGTCTGTTATTATCGTAGTCGCATTGTAGTCATTAGTTGCTTTTAGTAATAAAAGTTTAATTACCCAAGTTTGAGGTGTACTCGCTGTGCGTAAGTCCCGCGTGGCAGCCGATTGATCACAGTGCACACAACACACACACACACACACTGACTCACCGACCATAAAAGTGGAGCATCGGCCAAACGGAGGTACGATTTGTTACATTCGAGTAACGCTTCCGACTAACATTTTGCACGTTACTCACGGCACCTCAGAGAGTTTGGCACAGCTATCGCACAGCGAGTCACAGTCACCTCACAGGTCCCTCACAGTAAGAGTCACAGTTGCCGTACAACGAGTCAGAGTGTTTCACACAACTAACTCAACTAACCATGGCCAGCAGAGTAAGATGCCTTAAGAGACTCGTCACGAAAAGAAATGACGCAGCGATGAATTGGCTGCAAGACTCCATTCAAGCGCTCACAGACGCACAAGTCAAGGAAAGCGCAAGGAGAATACGAACCTGTGAGAGGTATATCGAGCTTCTCGAAACATCATTGACAAAGCTGACTAAAGCTTTCGATGAAACTCCAGGAACCACAGAAGAAGAGGAGGACACCTGGACAAGTATATAGAATCGACCCAGGCAACAATAATGAAACTGCACGAGCACAGGACACGGCTAGAAGAAACTCAGGAAGATAATGTCGGGGTTGACACAGACGGCACCACAAGCCTAGCTGCAGTCAACAAACTCCCGACAATCCGTATCCCAACATTCACAGGAAGAAAATGGGAATGGGATAATTTCTGGGCCCTATACAAAGCCAATGTCCACGATCAGAGCCTAACACAGCTGCAGAAGTTTAATTATCTGCTGGCATCCCTGAGTGGGGAAGCGAAACAATCGGTCTCACGATTCTTCGTCTTGGCAAATAATTACGACAAGGCAATTCAACACCTCATCAAGAGGTATGGCAATAAGGACGGCATTGTCTTAGAGTTGAATAGAAGCCTACACAACTGTGTTGCAAGGGGACCCAGTACGGCGGAACAGCGACAGTTGTGGGACAAACTGTCAACGATCGCCGCACAGTTAGATGAGCATGAGGAGCAGCTCAATAACCAACTAACGATACAAATCTTTGTGCAAAAGTTTCATGCACGCATAAGAAGAGCAGCCATAGAGACTTGACCCAATGGCTTGATGCCATCGACAATGTCATCTCACAGGAAGAACAGCTGAACCATATGCTCTCAGTCGACGGTCAATTCACAGGTTCTCCGTTGCATAGTGCAACATTCATCAAAACATTTCCAGATCTGGAGAAGAACTGGAAGCGCGGAATCCTATGCGAATGCTGTGGAGATATAGGGCACAGATGGACGACCTGCCCGCAAATACCCACAGCAATACAAAAGAGAAGGTTTCTGTTAGAAGCCAACAGGTGTTTCAACTGTGTATCCGAGAATCACAGAATAGCGTCATGTTCGAGCGGCAACTGTAGAAAATGCCACGGAAAGCACCACACTTTCATTTGCATGAAGAATACTCCACGGGAGGCAGGGAGATGGAACAAATTTCCACCCGACAGTCAAAATTACTCCGAAGCAGTAGAAAGCGAAACCAGCCAAAAGCGGCAGCAAATGCGGCAATGGACGCAACTGGAGTGATTGAAAAAGAAACTCCTATGCTGACAAGCGGACCAGCGAAGAGTGCAATTCTAGCAGTTGTACAGCTCAAGGAGAAGGTGCCTACTACCATCGCATCGGACTTCCCATCCAAAAGCGAAGTTAGGAAAGCAGCAGTAAAGGCACAGTCAGCAGCGTCAAGAAAGAAGTTTTCCATCAGTATGGACCTCGATATTGAGACACATTCATCAGTCAGCCTTACTTCCACAGAGGCACCCGTAAAGCCTGCTAATGTGAGATCAGAGATGGCTTCTCTCTCTTCAAGTGACAGCGAAACGAGCGAAGACACTGGAGGAGAAACGATCCACAGACTGCAGGAGGACTTTATGGACTTTAAGAAGGAGGTTGAACAGCAGTATCAAGAATTGCGAGAGTGGATGTACAGTATGTGCCAGCGCTTTGATACCGTTTTGACGCGGGAGGAGAGAAACGGAAGTCATGCTAACCGACAAACTGTTCACCAGGAACGCAAGAAGACACAAGAGGAAGCGGCTCGCAGAAGACAGACGTCGAAGAAGGAGGAGAAGAAGAGGAAGCGAAACTTTAAGAAGCAAAGTGAACACCTCGGAGAAGTCGCAACCGGAATGGATCCTCAAAAGGAAAGCAATAGCTGGAAAAGCGTCCATCGGCATTCAAAAAAAGGCAAAACAATACTAGGACGTCTCAGTCGCAATCTTGCCGGTGAGGCGGGAGTATACGAACTTCATTCGTATTATTCTACGCGCAGTGCGAAACGAGCACAGAGGTTCGGAGATCCCATGCAAGAAAAGAAGTAAAGCGGACCATCACCACGGACAAAGCACCAAAGGGTTTGTCGAGTGAGCAAATCTCCGAAAACGCCACAGAAAACATGGTAAACAGCACACAGTTCGGAAGCGAAGTAGCACGGCAAAAAGGAGGATGGAGTCACACTACTCTTCGCGCACCGTGGCAGGGTGCGTTCTACGAGAGGATTAAGCGCTGCATCAGTAAAACGCTATACTACATGCTCGGACTGCTCGCCAAGGCTTTCGATGGATTCAGGACGACGCTCACAGACATGGAAGTAGGGTCCAACCCCCGATGGCGCTCACGACAGCAGCAGAAAATCCGATACGGGACAGGAGGAGGATTGAAGAACTCGCCGAACGAAAGCGATATCGTGCTGTTCGGAGATGCGGTACAACCTAGATCGACCCACAACTGGAAAACAACTCCCATAGCAAAAATGGACGGATCACCACAGAAGCCAGCGAGGAAAGTTGTGGTGGGAAATTCTGATAAATCCGGATTGCGACGGCGGTCAACTCAAACTGCGTCACTGGAGATTGACAATAGAGGAGCCCTCACAGCTAAGGAGCAAAAATTCAGAACAACTCGATGCAACGCCAAAAAAGAGAGTTAACCAAAAAGAAGCAGAGCTACGAGCAGCGACACGGAAGAGCACAATGGCTACCACGACTACTTTGTCATCAACAGTGATGCTCCATTCGTCTGCTGAGGTCGGAGTATACGAACTTGCGTTCTTTGAATCCCGAGGAATGCGCGATGGCGAACTTTGACCAAGGCTCGAATGTTTCACAGATTTATGTTCTTTGAGGTTCTTATCAATGAATTTCTTATGCTTGCTTTTAGTATGTTTATATTCGCTCATATATTTAAGCGGCTGACACAGTTCAGCAAGCACTGGTTTGTATGTCATCGTTCAATTGTTTCCTTATTGTTTCTTACTTTGATTCTTCATCATTATCGATTGTATCCTTCCCACAGTTGCTCACTACCTCACAGGACCCTCACAGCGAAGTTACGGCCTCTTGCACAGACCCCTCACAGCAGCTCACAGTGAATCCGATTGACATATATGGATATTATATTGCTTGTCTGTTATTATCGTAGTCGCATTGTAGTTATTAGTTGCTTTTAGTAATAAAAGTTTAATTACCCAAGTTTGAGGTGCCTTCAAGAAAGGTTGTCTTGGATCAGTCAACATTTTTCACTTAAAATCACGCATACTACAATCTACAGTAAACCTACAATAGCTCTGCGAGGCTGGCAAGTTAGATGGAAATTATTTCTAAGTCCAGCAGAAAAGAAGTCCTGGAGTGAGTTTGTCCCAGGACAGTCGGCATTTTACTGAAGTCAAGGCTTGGTACACCAGTAAAGCCAATGTGTTTGAAAATTACTAGTCGATTTAGAGTCAATATTGCAGCTGTTCACCAAGTTTTGCGAATTCTTGAGCTGGCGTCCTCTTCAAAATCGTATGTAGACCATTTTTTTAATATTATGGAATGTGCAGATTCTCAATCTAACGGTAGGTGTATGAATCTGTTGCAACGTTGAGTTTTGCTACTTTACATTCGACCTTTTTCTGAATATATCAGCAGCTAACCTCAGGTGCTAGCCATCGTACATTTAACGGCTTGGACAGATCAACCTTATACACATTAGTCGCTCGGCACATTCCAAAATCAGCAAGCTTCACAATTCCCTTATCGATCAAGCAATTTCTTGTTGCAATGTCACGGTGAATGCAACTGGTTATAAGAAAAATACTTTTTAAATAACAATTTTCAGCGAACTCACTCTCTCGAGTGGAGATACTCCAATCCATAGGCTCCCTGTGTTGACATATCTATCCGTCGTCCAATGCTAATTTTCTGTGAATATGAGGAAATTGATGTACTATATATCAGGTTTATATTTTTGTTGAGAGAGATGTAATACTTACCAGGTTTATATTTTTAGTCAAGGAACATTTAAAATGTGATTTATCGACAGAAAATATATGCGGCAAAATGTGCTAATCACAAACCTGACTTCAGTGTTTGTGCAACGCTTTTTTATGAGGAGTTATTAAAAGAGGCTGAATTTTTGTCCGAAGAATCCAGCAGCCACCCTGCTTGACTCTCTTAACATGTCACGCACGCGGAAAATCTTTCCTCCCGTCTACTTGCTTAGGGTTGGGCCAGACTTCGCGTATGCACACTTGCATTGAGATATGAGGCGTACGCTGCGTATGTCGCATACAGGGCTCCTAAATTACAGAGTCGTTTGCACCAGCGGTCGCGCGACCGCTGGTGCAGACGACTCTGCAATTTAGGAGCCCTGTATGTATACCCCCCTACGCCGCGCAGTCTTAATCAACTCTTGGGGAGCAACCACAGATTGCCGGCAGTTGCTGAGATTGCTGGTTTGTTAGAGAACGCATAACATGCAGAGTACCATGTGGTCTTGGCTAGCAACCTCGGCAACCGGCGACCTATGACATTTCGCCTAGGCACAATCCCGCTGCAGGATGGATTTGCAGAAAAGACGTAACTAATGTTGCATTCCAATCCAGTTCCACAGCGGCTTGACATCATTATTCTGTTGGCACTAAGGCAGCTAAAGTGTTTTAAACCTAACATATATGTGATTCATAGCACGTAGAGAAATGGCGCTGCTGCGTGCGCTATCGGAGCTTTCTGGTTAAACGCACTTTCCTCTCGTTTACCGTTTGCTGCCTCACACGCACTGCCGTCTTCGAACTCGCTGATGTCCAGTCTCTGTGTATTGCGAACGAATTGCCGAACTCACTTTTGGATGAGCCCTTAGTTTGTCTTCTACAGAACCACCATCACAATACTCCATTACAAGTAAGTATGGCATGCGATCGACGATGAAGCCATAAAATCTAAATGGAACACATTTATGAATGATGTACTATCATAGCTTCTGCATCAATATGGCCGCCTCTAAAGTTCGGTAATTGTATTTATTACAGTAGAGACTTGGTAAACGATTCTTTATTTGAACTGGAGCAGGCCGGTCGCGGTAGAGCATTGTACTCTAGCCTTCAATTCAATTTGTCGTTGACAGTGGAAGTTTTCTATGCCAACCAAGACGCTACAGTTCAAACTGAAATCGTCCACCAGCTGTTTATTGCAACGCGAACGAGAGAAACCGAAAGACAACGCACTTTACTATGTGCTTGTGTTCATTCAGTTGCATTGCTCTTGCTTCTTTCATCATTTCAGCGAGTGCTGAAAATGCAACAAGTGCGTTTTCATTTATGTTACTTATTATTAAGCAGTGCGTCACCTCTGCTTCGCAGAGGCTCACACTGGCTCTACTATCCATGTGCCTTACTCATTCTCGTAAAATCGTGGCACTGGAACTCACCGCGCTATGCCGAATACCACGAATAAAATGTAAACAACTATCCATTTAGAAAGCTTTTTCACGTGAGATTGGTGATTTCGCGTGGATAAAACTTTTCGCAGGAAGACAGACGCAATTTTGAATAGGTCTTGAATTTGTCATGGCGCGGTAGTTGCCATGAAGGCAGTAGTGGAAGTGAGCTACATCTCTGTGCAAAAATCTTTTCAAATGCTTGGCTAAAACCTTGGCAAATTGACCATTTACGGAACCAATTCTTTTTGACGCCGTTTTCGTTATGTAGCAAACTTTTGACCACTTTTTGGGCTAAAGTCCATCGCTCGCACATTTGCTCACCAAACACATCCACGACTTTGCAAAAAGTGGTGATACGGACCCAATTTTGCGGAACAGAAGCCAGGTGGATCCGTTTGGTGCGCAATTTCTAAGGGATCCACTCAACGAATCTACTCGTGCTTTCGCATGTTGGACCTTCATGAAGGTAGCATGCGCTATGCAAAATTTGGGCTCAGGATGTTGGCTGGAACATGCTCTCCGAATTTCGTATTAGTTTTTTTTAAATTTCGTATATATATATATATACACAACACAGACAACACGTAAACAGCCCTTAGGCTGGGTTCATACTGATTCCCATGTTCTGGAACTGTGCTGCATGCGCTGCAGCCGCCCCGTACTGCTTTGAACGGCGAAGTTGGAGAATTTTGACCGTTTTCAACGGTTTTTCTTTCGGATTTCTCTCATTTTGGCCTTATTCCTCCACCCGCTTCCCATTTTGATCAGCAGAACTTCAGACTCGAAGCGGCGTTGAAGATTGGACGCTGTTCTGCTGCATGTATCCGGGAAGATGGACTGTCATGCGCTTGTCCATTCTCTAATCGCTATATTTGTTCAGATCTACTTCATGTGTTCTAGCAAGGCGCTGCGTAGTCTCGCATCTGTAAACTGACATGAACAGGTCTCTAGAACACATGAAGTAGGTCTGAACAAAAATGACAGAGAAGATGGACGAGCGCAAGAAAGTCCATCTTCCCGGATACATTGAGCAGAACAGCGTTCAATCCTCAACCCGCTTCAAGTTCGAAGTTCAGCTGATCAAAATGGGAAGCAGGGTGGAGGAATAAGGCCAAAATGAGAGAAATCTGAAAGAAAAACCGTTGAGGACGGCCAAAATTTTCCAGCTCCCGCCGTTCAAAACGGTGCGGGGCGCAGCGCATGTAGCACAATTCTGGAACTGTTTACGCATAGTTCCAGCACAGTGCGAGAACTGTGCGGGAACAGTTCCAGAACATGGGAACTAGTATGAACCCAGCCTTAGGCCGTTATTATAAGGTCTTGATAATAAGGGCAGTATTTTCGATCATTTATGTAACTTATCAATTTTAATAGGTATTTTCGATCAACTACTGCCTTATTCGTCAATTTCGAATTGAAGCAAAGAAATAGCCAAACAGTCTTTTTGTTTTTGTAGCATCTTTATATTGTCGGGTCGCTCAAGTTCGTGCCTTTTTCTGACCCATCATAAAATCACGTAAATAAGATGACATCTCACTCTCTCTCAAACAATTCTGTTTTTGACAGATGGTTACCCTCGCGGTTACTGTGTTTATCGCAAAAATTTCAAATCTACGCCTTTTATTCATCTTTACCATTTTTAATATGATTTTCTAATGTTGCCAAACTCTGGCACGGTTGAGGCAAGCCCCACAATAACACATTGACGGTCATGCAGATTTTTAGTTGCCTGCCGTCTGGGACCAATCCTTTTACGGACCAGCCCACAGTTTTCAACTATAATTACGCATAATGCCATCTACAGTACACCTACAGTAGATCTGAAAGTCTGACAAAAAAGTAGAGGTCATCCTTAGATTCAGCGCAAAAGAGAGCTCATGGAATGAATTTATCCCAAAATAGTAGTCATTTTGACAGAATTCAAAAATTGACACACATGGTGTGTCAAGCGGTCCCACGCGGTAGTCATTGCTTGACACACCATGTGTGTCAAGCTGTCGTTAATGTGTTAAACACACCGTCAATCCAAAATGGGATCTATGAGACTTCGATGTCTAACAATAGAGGGGCCTTCAACAGTATTACTGCCCGACTCGCGCTGTCTGAAGTTGCACCAAAGCAAGAAAATCGCTTTTAAAATCATTCGGTAGACGGATTCTCCACGTTGGCTCCTATCTTAAGGGCGGCACGTTCATTCCCACTCAGTGGTTCCATCTAGCACCTAAATAATCACCGGGGACAGGTGGCCATGCGATTTATGGGCAAGCGGGCACCGGAAAAGTAGTTCGCTGATTTCTTGCGATCCGCTTGCAGATATCTAGAAGAATTTTGGCGAAATTCTGGACGAATGCTCGGAGGACAATTAAGGCTTTTTCATAAATTAGTTACGGTGCAGTGGCCACATCCTCACCGACTTCCCGCGACAATATCCACGATTGTAAAGTGCCGCACGGTCCTTTGCTAATGACCGCACATCCTATAGGTACCTTCTGCTGGGAGAAGGTGCCCCAAACTCGGGTAATTAAACCATCGATGACACCTCTGTTAAGTAGAGTGTGTTACCTTTGCTCAGCGTACGCCCGGAACTGCTTGAAAAGAGTCCGAGCGCATGCTGAAAGTTTGGCCGGCGCTCGCTGTAAGACATTATTTGACGAACGCTTGTAGAAATTTTTGTATTGCTGCCCGCCCGGAATTACCGCTCGCTGAAGATTTGGCCACGTTCCAAAATTTTGCTGACCGCTTGAAGAAAAGCGCGAGTTTGCGAACCGTCTGCCCCCGGCGATTATCTGAGCAGGCGCAAAGGTCAAGAAGTCGATCAAATCATGCGAGAGTGCCCAAGAAACAGTGCGTTCCTCTGCGTCCCTGCTCTACGATGGCCCCGCAGCTGGGCGCGACTGACGGGCAGACCCAAGGAGTGTTGTTCTACTGCTGATTCCGAAGAGCATTCAAAACTCAATAACTTGAGGCTTCCGTTCAATTTTAGGCCTGCTTTCGGACTCAGCGTGCTCAAAGGTGCTAAAAAGGACAAATATTCAAAATCGAGAATATGGGTGGACGGTGCCTTCAACTGGCAAGCGGCACGGACTTCGCGGCGCTATTTCACATTGGTTGACCCAAAAATGGAAATCGCGGATTCACGCTGGTTACAACATACTTATTTTGTACAGTTATGCCATCTAGTGGAGTTACGGTAAGGTTACGGTAGGGGGTCAGAGTTATGGGTTGGCCCTAACTTTGTCTAGGGGGGGGGGGTTATGAACATGAATATAACATTCATTTTGTACGGTAGCGGCATCTTCTCGGTTACGGTGGGTTACAGTAGATGGCTAAAAAACGCGAGTTTGCTCAAACCTTTGCCTAGAGGGCTTCCTAAGCACGCTGGTTGCGGATATCATGCTCGTTCGCTACAACGATGCCTTAAAGTTAGAGTACGATGAGCCACAGTGCGTGAAAAAGTAATTTTTCTGCTTTTCAGCCAAATTTGGGTCCAAAAAATCCACGAAAAGGCTTTATCGTGCGAGACGAGTGCAATATACGTGATCAGCACGTCAGAAAACACCCCTGTACAAAGAATCAAGCATATACCACCTACCGTACACGTAGCATAATTTCGCGAAAAAGTACGAAAAAAAGAGGTAATGTTGGAAATAATAATAATGTTAATGATGATTAATAATCAATAATGATCTAGAATAATCAATCAAGACCTTATAATAACGGGCTAAGGGTTGTTTACGTGTTTTGTGTGTGTGTGTGTCCGTCTGTTACGAAATTCGTAGAGCGTGTTCCAGCCAGCGTTTTAAGCCCAAAATTTTGCATAGCGCATGCTACCTTCATGAAAGTTCAACGTGCAAAAGCACGAATAGATTCGTTGAATGGGTCCCTCAGAAATTGCGCGCCAAACGGATCCACCTGGCTTCTGTCCCGCAAAATTGGGTCCATATCACCACTTTTTGCAAAGTCCTGGATGTGTTTGGTAAGCAAATGTGCAAGCGATGGACTTTAGCCAAAAAGTGGTCAAAAGTTTGCTACATAACGAAAACGGCGCCAGAAAGAGTTGGTTGCGTAAATGGTTAATTTGCTAAGGTTCTAGCTAAGCGTTTCAAAAGATTTTCGCACGGAGATGTAGCTCACGGTTACTATTGCCTTTAAGGGGACTACCAAGCCATGACAACTTCAAAAACCTATTCAAATTTGCGTTTGTCTTCCTACGAAAAGTTTCATCCACGCGAAATCACCGATCTCACGTGAAAAAACTTTCTGAATGAGTAGCTGTTTACATTTAATTCGTGGTAGTCGGCATAGTGCGGTAAGTTCCATTGCCACGATTTTACGAGAATGAGTAAGGCACATAGATAGTAGAGCCAGTGCGAGCCTCTGCGAAGCAGAGGTGACGCACTGGTACTTATATAATATTTGGCTTAGCCACTCTTTGTATCTTACAAGGGAAGCTACCTAACGTAGTTCGGTCTTTTGGCAAAAGACATATGTAATCTGAATCAGCTTTGAACGCTGACTCCAAATATGCTATTTCTAGCTGCCATGCGCCATTCCAAAACAAGTTACGAGCTTTTTCCTGCGCAAAATTGGCATGCTCATGGACTCACGGGCATCACTCATCATCCTTTGAATGCTGATGCACTGCGTTAAGCTTTTTTCAGTGAGAAAAGATTGTATTTGTACTATTTCGATACACTTCGATATCCTTTTTCTTGCAGATTTTTATTTACAGGCAGTCTTCTCATGTTCAGTAGTATGCCAATTTTGCGTAGGAAAAAGCCCATAACTCGCTTTGGAATGGTGCGTGGCAGCTAGGAATAGCATATTTGGAATCAGCGTTTGAAGCTGATTCAGAATGTATATGCCATTTGCCAAAAGTCCGAGCTAAGTGAGGTAGCTTTCCTTGTTAGTTAAAAAAGGATAGAAGGGACCATGGAATAAACACCAAATTCGGCAGACACAATGTGTGTGAGGTGGGGCGTGTGTTAATAAACCATGTTATTCGGGGCTCACCTATTGCCTCTCTCGATTTATTGATTTTTGAAGTTTTTGCTTAGAAAATCTATTATGTTCGTCTAAGAAAGATAGAAGCAACCATATTATCTGAGATAGATTTGGCAGACTTAATCCGTAGAATGGGGCGTGTGTTAATAAGCCATTTTGTTCTGGATACATTGCAGTTTGCGTGATATCCGTTGCTTATGCTGAAATGTTGAGTCAAAATCCTACTATAATAACGCGCTAAGAGTGTTTACGTGTTTTTGTGTGTCTGTCTGTCTGAATGTCTGTCTGTCACGAAATTCGTAGAGCGTGTTCCAGCCGACGTCCTGGGCTCAAATTTTGCATAGCACTTGCTACCGGCATGAAAGTGCAATATGCAAAAACACAAGCAGATTCGTTGAGTGGGTCTCTTGAAAATTGCGCGTCAAACCGATCCACTTTGCATTTGGCCCACAAAATTGGGTCCGTAATTCCAGTTTTTGCAGAATGCTGGGTGATTATGGCAAGTAAATGTGCAAGCCATGAGCTTAGGCCCAGGTAAGTGACCAAAAGTCCATTACTTTACAAAAACGGCGCTAAAAAGTATTGCTTGCGTAAGTGGTCAATTTGCCAAGGTTCTAGAAAAGATTTGAGAAGATTTTTGCATAGAGATGTAGCTCACGGTGACTATTGCCTTTATGGCGACTATCAAACCATGACAAATTCAAAAACCTATCTGAATTTGCCTTTGTCTTCCTGCGAAAAGTTTTTTCCATGCGAAATTACCGATCTCACGTGGAAAAGCTTTCTAAATGAGTAGTTGTTTACATTTCATTCGTAGTAGTCGGCATAGCACGGTGAGTTCCAGTGTCACTATTTTACGAGAATGAGTAAGGCACATAGATAGTAGAGCCAGTGCGAGCCTCTGCGAAGCAGAGGTGACGCACTGGTGACTTATAATAAAGCGCATGTCTGTCTGTCTGTCTGTGTGTGTGTTTATGTCTGTCTGTCACGAAATTCATAGAGCGTTTTGTAGGCAAGGTCTTGAGCTGAAACTTTGGTCATAGCACCTTACCAGCATGTAGGTGAAAAGTGCAAAAGCACAAGCTGATATGATATTTGGGACCTTTAAAAACTGCGCGTCAAACGGGCCCACGCGGCTTTTGGCACGCAAAACTAAGTCATTAATTCGACTTCTGGCGAAGTCATGATTTGCCTGACAAGTACATTGCGCCTCATGAATTCTAGCCCAAAAAATGCTCAAAAAGTTTGCTTTTCTGCGACAACAACGCCAAGAAGTGTTGATGGCTTAGACAGTCGATTTGGCAATGTTTCACCTTCAAACTTGGGTAGATTTTTGCACGGAAATTTAGCTCAAAGTGACTATTATCCTTACGACGACTACCAAGCCAAAACAAATTCAGTAATCTAATCAAATTCGCAGGTGTTCCTTTGCGATAAGTTTTTTTCTCTCAAAATTACCGATCTTACTTGGAGATGCTTCAAGAATGAACAGTTGTTTACTATTCATTTGTGATGTTCAGCATCGCATGGTGGGTTTCAAAGTTTTCATTATGCGAACATGAGAAAGGCAAACGGATAGGAGAGCCAGTGCGAACCTCCGCGAAGCGGAGGTGACGCACTGGTGAACTAATAAAGCCGAGACCATGTTCTCAACTTTTCTTTCTGCACGAGTTATAAGTCGAAGTGATTCGGTTGATCCGGGCAAAATAGCAATTTTCACATATCCGCAGTGAGTAAAAATAAAGAATTTACGAGGAAATCGAAGTTGCCGAGTAACAGCCGAATCTGCCTCGTAGCGGCAGAGAGCGGCAGGTAATTAAATTTTCGTTATTAGCTTGCTTAGGAACCCCTCCAGGCAAAGCTTTGAGCAAATTTTTGATTTTTAAATCTACCGTAATCCGAGAAGACGGCGCTACCGTAAGAAATGAATATGATACTCATGTTCAGCTGCCAACTAACCCTTCTAGAAGAACTTTGAGGCAAATCCATGATTTTGACCCCTGCCGTAACCGTACCGTAACTTCACCAGATGGCACCTACCCTGCAAAATAAATGTGATATTCGTAATCAGCATGCAAATTAACCTCCTTACACGAAGTTTTAGGCGAATCCGCGATTTTCATTTTTTGGGTCAACTAATGTGGAATAGTATCGATTTGACCTATGCTAGTTTTTCTCCTATCTCCGATACGTTTTTTCCTTTCACTTTTGTGAAGGCTTCGCAAATGGATTTCTCATAATTGCTACGTTCAAAGTTGCTGCCAGTTTACTACTGGCAGTACGTGAACTCCGAAATACGTTATTTCGAAGCGGTGAATGTTCATTTGTTTGCGAAGTTATCGTCGAATAATAAATATATCTTGAAACTTTGTAAGTTTTGAAGAACTTCTAATGTTGAATGCTATCCTGTATGTCACGAGTTCGCAAAAGGAGTTAAGAGTTGGGCCAGACTGCGCAGAGCACTCTTCAGGTCTTTATGCACGTAGGCTACGTTGCAAACTTTGCTTATGCCGCATAGTGTGGCCCAACCCCAAAGATGCCAAAAAATTCATCGTATTGCACTTTGTTCGCTTTACTCACTGTCAGTTTTTAAAGCGCTTGCGTATGTTTATACGTAATGTTTTGCAGAACTTAAGAACGCTCGAACGGTACCGTCTGACATCTCATATCAAACAAAGTATTCGAGGATTAGCTTGATATACCTTCCCCTTAACTCACCTTGATCGTCTGTTCCCTCCGAGTCGATTCTTTTCACAGCGATTGTCTTGTTGTTTTCCCGAATTAATTGCCCCTTGTATACAGTGCCATATGCTCCAGAACCAATCTAAAACATTTGGGCGTAAAGATAAATTTGAAAATTTCTTGACCATACCTTCTTTAAGAGTCTAACATCGCTATGAACAAGTTGAAATTTCCCTTTTGCGACGGGCTTTTTCAGTAACAGCTCTTCTCCCCCTTGGAGAACTATTGGCTCTTTTGAATAATACTCTACCATCTTTTTTAAGCTAGGGAATGTTTTGCCCTATAATAATTATTAGCTTATAATTCAGTTGGTGATCTTCAAATTACAATATATCTTATTGTTAGATGCTCCAAGATAACAAGTGTTTTGTTGCATTTGCCGCTTTTTGCTTGAGGTCAGGTCCACACTCTCCCGCGCCAACACCGTTCCAACACCGTCAATTGATTAGTATGGGCGCCAGCACGGCACAGAAACTCTGGATCCTGACCTCGACATGCTCCAAATGCAAGTCCTCATATGTTAACACTTTATCGGACTTTTGACCAACAAATAACTAAATATGGTAGGATTCAAATTGCTTAAAAATTTGAGTATTTAAGCAAGTTTGAACGGATACCCCTCATTTTGTTTGAAGGGAGCGCAAGTTGTGTTTTGTGAATAGCGACTCAATCAGACTGTATAAGTAATGATTAAATTGTGATTTCATTGAATTCATCCACTAGATGTTCACTTTTTTGATATCAAAATCTGGGCAGGTAAGGTAGTAGTCAGGCATTGAATTTGAACTCTGTAAGTTGAAAAGATGGCTGTGTTCGAGATGTTTGGAGGAAGGGCTAGTAGATAACGAATTTGAAAGGTTTTGTTAGAATGTAGGCTTTCAAAAACACTATGTAGTAGAGGTTACCCCTAAACGAATTCCGCTTTCGCCTCTTCTAAGGTCTATTCTTTTGATTGCATCTTTTGTTCGAATTGCTATCACCAGTCGCTGTCGAGTTGCAGTTGATGAATGTCGCGACTGTATAAGAAAATCTCCTTCTTCCTGCAAGATTAATTTTTAGCTATTGTGACTATAACAAATAAGTGTATTTAGATAAAACGATGAAAGTGGTATGTAAACGCTTGTTTTGTGAATGAAGAAGCTTTGTTATAATTAGTAAAATATTATAAAAGTTAGAAGTTTTCCTCAAACAGTCAAGTTAGGCAAGGATGCGAGGCTTACAAGCTTTTTTCGATGAAATAATCATATGAAAAAGTAGTGCAGAGCGGAAGTTGATGTGTTGTAAGAGATTATAGAATGAAGCAAGGAAGAAAAGAGGTGATGATCGTGGGGGAGAAGGAGGGAGGGAGGAAGAGTACGACGAATGAAGCTCTCTGTAAGGGACCACGATGCATACATTCCATACATTAACATCCCCGATGGGGAAAGAAACGCAGAAAAGGAACGTCATATGCTTCAAGACCACTGCTTTTTATAATGTCATCTACTAAAAATTAATTACCAATGAAAGGGCCATTTAAAACCAGCATTTTCCAGTTGCATACCTCAGCAGCAGATCGTCTCTTGTTCAAAGCCATTTGTTTTTTATAAACATAATGAAAAGATAAGTTGTGCTTTTTGTCTGTTCTAACACTGCGCAAAGGAATAGAGGCCAATTCAAACAAGCTGCATATCATTAACACCAGCAAAAAACGCTGGCTTTGAATCCTATTTCTTTCTGCTCAGCGCCTAAGTGGGCGAAGTTATGAGCCATTAAAGGCCGTTATTCTGTTAAGAATTCGTGCATGCAAAGTGCAAAATTAGCAGTACATAGCCATGTTTGGCTTAATGCTGGGCCATTCTTAAAACTCAAAGGTGAGCCGAAAGTGCAACAGTGTGCTCAATTTCGCAATTTTTTGCACGATTTTTTTCGCAACAAAAACACTGTAATTTCGTCCACAAAGGCGCTAAGCTGATATTGAGTTCAGACTGAAATTCGCGTGGAATGCTGCATTGAATGGTAGACAGCTTAATTGTATTGGTCACTTTGACTTCTGATCCTGCTTCCCTTGTCATATTCTTGATAGAACCGACGGAATGACAGAGCCGCGATAAGATGAAAAAGCGATCGAAACCCGCGTTTTAAATATTGCATGCTCAGCACTCATGTCTTCTTCGGCTTCAAAATGAGCTCATTGTCGTAAAGACCCAGAACCACTTTTACCAGAAACTATCCATGTGTTATGTGTAATGTGTTCCTCACATTTTGTTGCGTTATTTCTTTCAAATTTTCCGCTTCACATCAAAATCAAAGAAGGTTAGAAATTCATTTGATTTTTTTTCAATGAGCCTAGCGTGTCTCATCGGTTAATTTGTTCATTTGACAATAGACAACGACACACCAATCACTTTTGCAGTTAGTCGCTTCTGCCTAGCTATGACAACTCCTCTATATACGCCGCAGAATTTTTGAGCTGTACTCAGAGGGTGGTAACCTAGAAATGCGATGTAAAACAGCCATCAAAAATGGATTTTTTGCTTCTTTGAGTCTAAGCTCAACCGAATCTGTCAAACTGGAGAACAATGCAGGATATTTAGTTTAAAATCTTTCAGATGCATCTGCACACTTCATCGGTTGTAGCAGAACTTATAAAGTTGAAAATTGAATAAAAAAATGCGACAGAATTGATTACACGATTTTATATCAAGTTGTCCCGAGAGTATTCCAGTAGTTTGTGTAAAAACAACAGCTCGATCACAATTCATAAACTCCTTATACTGAAGTATATTTTGCCAAATTTCGTAAAACCACATCAGTTACTGTCTCATTGCCTCAAATTTGACTGTCCTCATCTTTTCAACACCATTGGTTTAGGTACTCACTTTTGATTCAAAAATAGTGTAATGCTCATATCCTCTTAACTTTGGGACAGTATTGCGAAGAAATGGATCACTAGATGCGGTTCTGCATTTGACGCATCCGCAAGAGGCAATTCTTCGATCGTTACCAACCTTGCGGTTTGGACCAGACATTGCGGTATACGCGCGGTAACCTACGCATCATAGCACCCGTGCATAGAGGTGAGGCGTACGCTGCGTACGTCGCTACGCCGCAATCTAGCCCAATTCTGCGAAATGGTAGAGAAGCGCAAGATAGTGCGCGTTCGATCACGTCAGTCACCTAAGCCGATGGTCCCTGTCTCACGCGTCGCGGGTCCTGCAAGCACTAAGAATGACTGAAATTTACAAAATGATGTCGATAATCACAAAAGAATCTTTATTTTGGATCTTCATAGAAGGTCGCTTAAAGGTAAACTTCCAAGAAAATGTCCGACTAGTTGGTGAAATTCTAGGGTCACGATTCCATGAACGATGGAGGATTGTTAGTAGATGGGGAAAAATATGGTGTAATGTTGTAATTTCCATGCCGTGCGAACCATACCATTAATTACTTAGCCTCATTTGTGAATCCGCTTTCGCCGTAAGATTCTTTTCACTTTTTCCTCTTGCTGTTGCACCTTTGCTTGCGCAAAAATTTCGCTTAGCTTGCAATCATTGTGTTAGATTATTTGAACTAACGTGCTCTCGCGCATTACAGTCAGAATCTGTCATCGTAGTTATTATCAATATCATCATTGCTTATTCGTGCTTCATTGCTCCTGGCACATTGTAGATTCGTTTGATTGCAGAGGTAAAATCCTCTCCTTTTTGATGTGTGCTTTAAACCGAGTGCGAGCAATCCACTTTTTTTTAGGTTTCAAGCGGAAATCAAAAGATTGAGGGTATACTTACGAGGGAAGTACTTCCAATGGCCGTGGCTGTTTGATATGAGATGCATATCATTTGAAGCAGCTTCGAACGCTGATTTCAATCAGCTTTCCGTTTCTGCGGAACGCTCTTTTGAAGAAAGTTATGGAAGTTTGAACATCCCGTTTGGCGGCACTCCTTGAGTTTGAGGACGCTGCTATGTGCGTTGGTGGTGCAGTAATGTGATGATTACTTGCTGACAATGAATGCGAAAGGTTGATGGTCCAAATCCGGGGAAGAGCGAGCCATTTTGCATTTTGAAGAGTTTAAGCACTCTAAATCGTCTGCAGACACTTACTGTAATGCCTTAGCACAAACAGGAGAGAACATCTTTTCGACTAATGACAGTGTGCACTTTTTGAGCTTTATGTGGTGACGAACGTGCTAGGCCATGTTTGATCCTGTTTTATTAGTAAGGAAGTCAAATAGAATTTCAGACTTTCATTACAAGCAGTTTTGCCAGAAGATTCATTTTCTAGGTCACTTGTGCCAAAGGCATTACAATAAGTGTCTGCAGGCGATTTAGAGTGCTTTCAAACTCACATTCAATGAGCAAGTTCGCTCTCCACTGGATTTGAACCATCAACCTCTTGCCTTAATGTCAGCAGCTAACCACTACATCACTGCACCACCAATGCACATAGCAGCGCCCTCAGACTTGAGGAGCGCCCCCAAAATAGAATGTTTAGGCTTCCATAACTTTCTTCAGGAGAGAATTCCGCAGAAACGGAAAGCAGATTTGAAATCAGCGTTCGAAGGTGCTTCAGATGACACGCATCCCATATCAAAAGGCCACGGCCATTGATAGTACTTCTCTTGTTAGTCATTTCTTCGTAAAACCGTTTCCGCATAAATTCAGTCTTTTTGATCACTTTTCGGGTCGAAGCAGGGCCCGGCACGAGTCGGTTTCTAGGATTTCTAAAAACGAAGTCTCTCCTAACTTTCGGAAGTTTTACGAAGTCCCCTTTGACCTACCTGCTTAGGAGAAGGTGAAAACAAGAAAGATTTACTAGTCTGAAAGAAAAGACGTAATGTGCAGGCTATGCACCATGTCTCACATTTAATGCACTTACTAGTCATGTGTTCTTTTCCGTCGTTGTCCAACGAGCGGGTATAAATAGAAGGGCGCAGGGTCTCGGACGTTCAGTCACCCCGCCCCATGCTGGGCTGCGGCTGGAGCTGAGGAATGCAGCTCGCTCCTGAGTTTTTAGCGCTTTGCATTGCCTAGCCATGCTACTGCTTACTGTTTATTGTCTTGTTGTCGTGCTTTCCCTTATCTAATGCTTTGTACTGAGCCGGTTCAGTTTGATAAATCTAGTTAATAATGATCATGATGTTCAAGGTTGAGGTTCGGTTTGGAAGGTAACAAAAGACAGAACTCGCATATTTTCCCGAACCTTACATGGAGGTTCCGGCGAGATTCAGATCAGTTCAGGTAGCCGAGATAAGATCAAGTAGGCGAAATTAGCTTAGCCAGGTGAGATTGCTTTCAAACTAGAAAAAAATAAGACTTTTTGATTTTCAGATATTTCTTTTACTCTCTTCCATCAAACATAAATTTTATTCCTTTTTCATTCGACTGATCACTTATTCTCAAAAGTTTAGCGTTACGTGGAGGAGAAAAAAAAAGTGCACAGCCGGAATTTTGGTGGTATTTTGTAAAGGGCTCAGTTTCGCTATCTTCTTTCTCTGCTCCACTTAATAAACAAATAAAAATATAAATATATAAATATGTAGGAGTCACACCCGCTTCATTATCTGCCGTGAAGTAATAAGATTATAAAAGGAGGCGCCGGTAAGTGTGACATTAGTATTAAACACGGGTAATATACGAAGCGAGAAAATCCTGGCCAGGTACACTCGGTCTTCGCGGCGCGTAATAATACTAACCGAGCGTTGTGTTAAAACAAAAAGAAACAAAGAAAATATTGGCTTCCTTAACAGTTTTAATTTTATGTATTCTTCTCCCCCCCCCCCCCCCCTGTCAATTTTAGCAACTCAGCCCTTTCGAGTCTCTTTTATTCTTAGTTGTTTCCCACCATATAAGCTAGCGGAATATAAGTTGGAGGTCCAAGGTACGCTACATTTTTAAGGAAAGTAGACAGGAAATGCATTTGGCCTTCATTTGTTCCTGCTTAAATCGTACAATAATGAATCATTCTGCAAGGCCTTGCAAGGTTGCAGTACTGAAATGTGCACTTGTGCTTGCAAACCAAAAGGACAAGGTCGTGCGCGTAGAGTCATCGCGTGCGTAGAATGGGTAATCCGCCGTACTCATTAATTTCCTCGCTACGCTATTAATGGTGTTTCCTCCGGGCGTTGCAAACAAAAGGTCAAGAGCGGGCGGGGCTGGTGGAGATTTTAAGTTCATTACAGGACTCAGTGCATAATTTGGAGGGTGGGGTTGGGGCTACGGTGTACTTGAGGGGTCTACTACCCAACACTACCAAAATCGGACGTGGGTCTATTCTGCCTGTCCACTGCCTTTAAGAGTTTCCTGTGGAAATCATGTCTTGCAGTTTCATTCTTCCTCGAGCTATCTCAACGGCTGGTTTGCGTTCAAAATGGATGTGGGAAATGCGAATTGGGATCGAATTGAAAATGGAAAAGCTTTCGCACGAGATTCTCATACAAGCTTTTTTGATAGTAGAAGACTTGTTTGATTAGGCTACCCTCGTATTTGAGAATGTTGCTATCTGATGAGTAAGGCCTCAGGCAGAGTTCACGCGATTGGATCGTCGCAGTTGATCGCGGCAAGACAACTGTAACAATATCGTTGCATACCGATTTTCTTGCATTTCGGTTGTGATAGTTTTCCAACACGACTAATCGTGACTAACTATCACAACCGAAATACAAGAAGATCGACATGCAATGAACTCGTAACACTTGTCTTGTAGCGATTGAATCGCGACGATCAAAGCGTATGAACCTGTCCGATGCGTAATGCGTATTAGGTGTCGAACTCGGAGCCTCCGCGATTAGTGAGTAGAAGACCTACCCATGAGAGGTTCTCAGATATTGAAGACTGCCTATTTCAAACGAGTCTTCTAGTTTCCAAAAACTTTGTATGAGGATTTCTTGCATGCAAAAGCATTTCCCATCCATTTCAGCTTCACTTCTCATTTCCCATTTCTGAAGGTATTCACTAGCCGGTGAGGTCGCTTGAGGAAGAATGACTGCAAAACTAATAGTTTCAGCATTCAACACTTTCAATACTTTCAACACCGGCAACACTGGGAAACTCTGACCGATCCCTTAGGCCCCGGTCAGACTTCACGCGACTTAATCGTCGCGACCAAATCGCCAAGACTTCCATTCATTTTCATTTCACATTCAAAAATTTCGGTCCGGAAAAGTATCACAACCGAATGCAAGTTGATCTGCATGGAATGATGTTGTAACAGTTGTCTCCTCGCGATTCAGTCGCGACGATCAAATCGCGTGAAGTCTGCCCGGGGCCTTACTCAGACACTCGCACCTGCCGGCGATCGGCCAATGACGGCCTTGCGATCGGCGGCCGTCCGATATACAGGGTGTCCCAAAAAGATGTGCACACTGTTTGATCGTTAATAACTCTCTTGCTTTCATGTCTTTTGCCGAGCTTGAGGTACCATTCTGTAGAGCGAGGATAAGCTTAGATTTACATTATGGAGCGAATCACCAATCACTCTTCGTTACTGTAGGATCACGGTTTGAACTTTCAGCATACAGCTTCACTGTGGAATAAGCATTTTGATGAAATAATTTCGAAAAAATCTAAAAATTTGTGTAGCAAGGTTTTCAGGCGTGCTGATTTCACTACATAACTTTTCACCAGTTTTCCGAGCTTTTTTTGATGACTATTCACATTTCTGACAAACCTTGGAAAATCAGTTGTTAACCTAAACCTGAATTAACTCATGAAAGAAATAGTGCATTGAAGCGCAATTTTCATATTTAGAATCAGCAACTTCGATTAACCCAGTTCAAGAGTTTCTGGCTTGTTTGGCTTTCTTTCTGAGGCAAAATACCGCTTTCAATGGCAAAAAATCCTCCTCGAAATTCCTATTGTAATCCTACAGTAATGAAGAGCTGCTGATAAGTCGCTCCATACTGTAAATCTAAGTTGAACCTCGCTCTAGAAATTGGCACCATAAGCTCGGCAAAAGGCATGGAAGCAAGAGAGTTATTAACAATCAAATGCACATCTTTTTGGGACGGGGGTGGGGTTGGGGCTACGGTGTACTTGAGGGGTCTACTAACCAATGCTACCGAAATTGGACAGGGGTCCATTCTGCCTGTCCACTGCCTTTAATACCGGCAACAATTCAATGCTTTCAACAACGGCAACGCTAGCAGATCTGACCGATTCCAAAATCGGTAGCTATGGAAGGAAGAAATCTCAATGCAGAAAATTACCTACTAGGTACTTGTGAATTTCGATCATTCACTAAATTTATGAGAGCTTCAAATTCACCATAGGCAATGAACACCTTAGATTACATGTCTGTGTGAAAACTTCCTTAGTTTATGTAGTAGAACCTTGACAAAAACGATGATAAACGCTATCAACTTTTCTTTTCAACGCCCTTTTCACATAACTTCGACCTTTTGATCACTTTGAGGTCTTTAATCCATAGCTTGCCCCAACACAGACAAAAAGAATATGCCCTTGCCGCTTTATCATGAGTCATGATAGCGTGACACTTCTCACGTGGTTAAGTGCTGTTGAAAAGTTATGATGTGAGCGGTTTTTTGGTGACTGAAACGGGAGGGAAGTATGCGCAGTCAACTTCAATCAGTTTAGACGGAAAGGCTGACGCGTGACCTCTGCGCAACAGTCTGCGCCGTAACGTTACGACTACAATGTTTCGTGCTCAGAACCCTTGTTTGGTTTTCTCTTCTCCTTGTCTTTGCTTTGCAAAATACCAGCGCTGTGCGCTCGCAAAGTATCCAGCGATGCAGATGCTTCTTATGGATGGTTGGGCCTGCTACGGGTTAAAAGAAACTTTGAAATATTGACTTCCTTCATATAACCCTCGTTGAAGCTGATATGCATTGGAACTATGTTTTTTCGGCAGTTAAGGATACCCCTATCATATATTCTAACAACAAGCAAGTCTGCAACGTGTCCCGGCTAACACTACAACCACACATCGAACCTGGAGCATATTGTCAGCATCCTGATCCATCAAAGCGCCATGAAAGTAGGGTAGATTGGTGTCTTCTTGCATTTTTTGCCTGAAATAAGAGTTTTTAGATAGTACGTTTTGATCCGTATAGCCTCAGCTCGATGCCATATTGCTCTGTCGTCACAATGTTTCTATTGTGGTCAAGTTTGAGACACTAGTTTCGAACAGTGAAGACCAAAAAAATTGCCGCAGAGCAGTGCAGCCACTTCCTCGTTTGCACATGCCGCACACGCAGATGCTGTCATTCTGGTGTAGTCCAAAATGAACACACCTTCCAAGTGGCTGGATACAATGGATGTGAGTACAACAATGAACTTCACTGTGCAAATTGTGACTGGGTCAGTCATTTACGAATGTTTATCGTTAAAACAATTGCAACGTTAATTAGTCAAGGGGTTCGCTGTTCTCCACATGGATTTCATGCTACTTATGCTTAGGCAAGCAGTGTACTCCTTAAGATTATCAGGCTGCTGCATAAGTTCTGTCCGAATTAAATTCACAATATCATAACTTCGTTTGAAATTTTCATCTTTTTGATAAACTTTCAGTATACTGAGCAATTTCTTGGATGTCAGAGGATGTTATTCTCCGAGCCTATGTAGTTATATATATGGCAATGCTCCCCTATAAGATATAGATAGATAAAATGCCGTAGATTATGCTATAGCCAAAAGAGCCCACATAAGGCGCCATTGCCGAGAAATTTATAATGCTTTTACAGGGCAGTGCTGCTTATAGAACACTTACATGCAGAATTGATTTTCGACAACAAATTTCGCTAACAAGACGACTTTCGAGTGAGAATGAATATGTGCATATACTAGTCCATTACATGTTTGATCCATGACCAGTCAGAAGCTTGATTTGAAGGAGTACCAGAAAGAGCAAGAAAAACCCTTTATAAAAATGCAAATGCTATTCGAGGCGGAAATTTGAAACAGCTGTTTCGCACGCAATTGAGCAAAAATTGGACAGGACTTATGCAGCAAGCTAGTATAGCACGCCCCGTCGTCGCTCGCTGCAACTGGCGATCGCCCGTCGTCGGGTAGAGTAACGAACGCCTCAATTCGGCACCGTCGCCGCGGACTGCTGGTCCTTCCATCCTACTGTTGTGCATCGTGTTAGGACCAGTGGTCCGCGGAGGCGGTGTCTAATTGAGGCGTTCGTTCCTCCACCCCCCGTCGTCGACATTGGGATCGCAAGAGCTGATGTTGGCGACTGCACTCTAGAGAGCTATCGATTGCTGGCAAGTCTTTACTTGTCCAGTCGATAATATCCAATGCGTAATCGCCAAAACTGTCGGTCACCCATCGTCGATATTGGCGATCGCCAGTCGCAAATGTTAGCGTCTTTGTTTTCAATGTGTATCGATAGCTGACAAGCACCACACCTTAAACCGATACGCATTCAACGTGTAGTCGCCGATACTGGTGATCGCCAGTCGTCAGAGTTAACAATCGCCAGTCGCCGACATCATATTGCTAGCAAATAACATCGCCGTTGGATTGTAAAAGTATGGTAGGGGTCATCCACTGATAACGTAGCAACAGCGGCGCCTTCCTCTGTGACGAATTCCACGCAGTCAATCTAGAAACAGGAAAACAGGATTACTGAGTTTTGCAAAGGCTTCCCATTTTCTCTGCTCCTCATTAATAGGTGACTGCGTGGATTGTGCTTTTCCAGCTGCTTCAGTTTTGAAGAGAATTTCTTTCAAGGATGTCGTCCATGCTGGATAATATTGAAACAGTGGTTCCGGGGCTTACGTGCACCCACACCACGCTCCCTTCAACAGCAGGCGGTTCCAGGTGTTTGACGAGTACTTATTATCTCATGATCTGGCGACGTTCTGTGCTCGCACACGATTGATGCCAAACAAATTTGAAGATTCGTACACTTGTGTTAAGCTCGAACTTTTGCCGACTCACGCAGCTCTGATAGAGGGGCGTAAAGGAATTTTCATCGATCCAAGGTGAAACTCATCGGATTTGTAGAAGAGGTCTTCTCATGCAAAATTCATAGTCACTCAAAGTATATAGACCAGGGTTAGGGATGGGAACTTTATTACAGTGTTTTGACAGGGCCGAGCGGAGCCGGGTAAGCAAGTTAGTATACTAAATAGAGATGGGCTTGTTTACCAATTTCAGGTAAAACCGGAAATGGCGGCGATGGTAGTAAAATCAATTTTGTAAGCAAGGCAAAAGCAAAAGTTATGTGGTTTGAGTTTTTACTTCAGACTTTGCATAATCTGCTTGACTTACAAATAGGGGGTGAGCAAACTAGGATACCATTCTGCGGTGAATTGGTTTTGCATCCCTCCAGGTGCTCTCTGGAAGCGATGGACAAGATACTGTGAATCTTCCACGTCAGAGAATGGCTGCGTATTATGGCAATAACAACGCATGTGATCCTCTCTTGTAATAAAAAGCAGGTGTTTATTGCGTCGTGTTTCCTAGAGTCTCAGAAAAAATCATCCTGTGGGGTTCGCAGGCGTCATTGCCAGTGCGAATCCTTTTGGAAACAACATCACCTCTGAAATTGCCCGCATTTTTCCACTGCGTCATCTTTTTGGAGATCTTTGGGAAAACGACAAATGTCCCTGAAATTACGCATAATTGTGCTTAACTCTATTCGATTGGATGTGCACATTTACTGATCGAATAGGGGTGTCCTAAGAGTATATGACTACTGTTTGATTGTTAGTGGCTTTCTTATCACGAAGTCTTTTGAAAAGCTTTGGGTTCGTCCATTCCCCACAGTATAGTATAGATCGAAGCTTTGCCGACCTTTGCCAACGTATGCGGTGGCAGTCTTTGATAGCGAGAGAGCGCAGAAGCTATGCTTCAAAACATAGTTGCGATAGGGGGAGTGATGGATCTTACCCCCTTCACTTTGAGGCCAAACTCCCGATGACCCCCTTCACCTGGGCTGAGATTTGATATTGTACTCTGAGAATACGATGGAAATCGTTATTAAAAGGTTTTGCAGGCTAAGAACCTCAAACAACAAGTACACTCGTAAATTCAAAAAAAACGGTATTTATGTTTATTCATATCATTTATTTATCCTCGTAGCATTCATCTGGAGAGCAGAAAGTGAGGACACAAAAGCAGTTGGTTTTTGGTTTCACATAAAATCCCTCATATCTCGCGGCACAAAAGACCTAGAAAAAAAGATTATGGAGAATCGACGGTCTACGTCGATTCTCCATGATCTCAGCTTTCGAATGGTCTGCAGCATGTTAAGGCTTCTTTGCTTCCCGGCTCTAAAAATCATTTGCTCCGGTAACCGATAAAAGCCAATACATTGGTGGAGCTGGGTGGAGCAAGCTAATAGTAAATATCTCCACCCCATTTTTGAAAACTGGTTAGTATTTTCGCCCAGCAACCTATATACCATTCGAAAGCTCAGGAAAAGGGGATTCGAACTAGGCTATCGCCTTCTTTCTAGCCCCCCTCTACCGAGAGATACACCGCATTTTATCTAAAAACATGGTCATTTTCAACAGCAGATTTCTGCCAAATGAAGACCTAATCACTGCTGATTATCTATCTGTGTTAAAGAGCAAGTCTTCATTAACAAACGTAGACCGTCGACTTTCTCGCAGCATTCATTTGGAGAGCAGAAAGTGAGGACACAAAATCAGTCAATTTTTGAAGCACGTAAATTCCCTCATATCTCGCGGCACAGAAGACCTAGAAAAAAAGTTGGCCTACGTCGATTCTCCATGATCTCAGCTTTCAATGGTTTACAGCATGTTAAGGCTTCTTTGCTTCCCGGCTCTAAAAAGCACTTGCTCCGATGACCCATGGAAGCCAACACATTGTATAGGTCGTCCCGAAAGTTCTTGCGCACGATGTTCAAAAATTCATAACTTCTAATTTTTCCAACCGATTTGAGTGCTTTCACTTTTATGTGAAAGGGTCATGCTCTTCATAATGACATCTCAGTGCTTAGTAATGCTCATCTGTTGCATAGATAGGAGCGATAGAAGAAAATGGTCAAAATTTGAATTTTCTGTGTAGGGTCATGAAAAATCGGAGACTTGCAACAAAAATCGGAGCAGTCAGATCTTAGGTTCTTTGATTAGCTCTTTCTAACAGTGCAAAGTTTGCGCTGATTGAGGGTTTCTATGGAAAGTTATGATTTCCCTGAAAAATGCCAAAATAAAGCAAATTCGCCCTTTTGTATTGCTTGCTCGAAAATCATAACTTTTCACAGAGACCCTCAATCAGCGCAAACTTTGCACTGTTAGAAAGAGCTAATCAAAGAACCTAAGATCTGACTGCTCCTATTTTTGTTGCAAGTCTCCGATTTTTCATGACCCTACACAGAAAATTCAAATTTTGACCATTTTCTTCTATCGCTCCTATCTATGCAACAGATGAGCATTACTAAGCACTGAGATGTCATTATGAAGAGCATGACTTCCCTTTCACATAAAAGTGAAAGCACTCAAATCGGTTGGAAAAATTAGAAGTTATGAATTTTTGAACATCGTGCGCAAGAACTTTCGGGACGACCTATACAATGTGTTGGCTTCCATGGGTCATCGGAGCAAGTGCTTTTTAGAGCCGGGAAGCAAAGAAGCCTTAACATGCTGTAAACCATTGAAAGCTGAGAGGAGAATCGACGTAGGCCAACTTTTTTTCTAGGTCTTCTGTGCCGCGAGATATGAGGGAATTTACGTGCTTCAAAAATTGACTGATTTTGTGTCCTCACTTTCTGCTCTCCAAATGAATGCTGCGAGAAAGTCGACGGTCTACGTTTGTTAATGAAGACTTGCTCTTTCTCGAAAGATCTTTCGATCTCTTGAAAGATCGAAAGGTCTTTCTCCAGACGGGCCGATGTAAAACTTTTTTCGTGAGTCTCCCCGGATTTTTCCATTCTATTCTCATTTCTTATATTAAATCCTTTCTAAGATTGAAATCAAAGGTTACACTTTGTGATCAAGACCGCTCCGTTTATGCCCTTTGTTCAGCATTTTACATTCTCTCCCAGCATTTCGTATTTCTGCTCGTCACTCAAAAACATTCAGACTTTGTTTCCCAAAGCTCCCTTTTTACTCCATCAATACGTTAAAGATGAAACGAAATTTGTGAGTGCAAACTAGATTAAAATCTCAAACTTAGCATGAGCAAACTCACTCAGCCTGCTGATCGCCATATGGTTATGTAGTGTAGTATATATCAGGTAATTCCAAAAATGATTTCTCTTTTTTGGCGATTGCCAAATATGTCAGAATAATGACTTCAAGATAATCGGGTCGTGTTCAATGTAGTGATCCGCTTTTCAATGGCTGCGCTGGCAAATGAAAATCATCATATGCTATCCAACAAAGTGTAACAATAAATGCCAATTTTTTGTAGGCTTCTGGATAACCATTATCCATAGTTTCTGCTTGCTAATCACTCTTCGCAAAGTGTCAGTTTAAGAAAAAAGATTTTTCAGAATGAATAATTAATGAAGGAATGTAATAAGTTCTTTGTTACGGTTTCCTCTATTTTATTGTGGCTTAGACGCTTTCAATTTGGGTTCTCTTCAGAACTTGACCATGTCAGAAACTATGGATTGCAAACTTTGATGTTCTTTTGACAGTGGAACGGAACTTACATACACAATAAGGTTGCCGACGCCTAATTAGCGGAGTTCATGAGAGGTCATTAACTGGCAGCAACGCTAATTTGCACTCATTTTGCACCGAAGATGAGCTGATCCTGCTCACGGTATCTCCGTCATCATCCTGCAGCCTATGAAACCGGAATTTCTTTGAAATTTGAACTCAAAGTTCAGTAGTGAAATCAGTCCAATTAGGGCAAAAATTGTATTTAGGGGTTTCTATCACGCTGATTCCGAATATGCTAATCATTTTACTTGAAACCTAGGATTTTTTCTTTTTTGAATTAACTGTTTGCACAAATTTTCCAACAAAAATTTCAAAAATTCTATGTAAGGGTTTCCTGACATGCTGTTTCCGAAAAAGCTGATGTTTCTGCTTGAAACCTCAAAAATTTTGTACTTCTCAAGCTCTTTTTCGGAAATTTCACTGCAAATTTGATAAACGTGGAAAACAAACGGAAAAAATCTGCTGTGTTTAAGAAAATAAAATGAATCCGATTTCGATTGAACTATCTTGCTCAAATAATACCTTAGATCGAAAAACCAAAATCGTATCGATGTCAAAAATTTCTTAAATCCGAAATGGACTCCAACATCGAATAAGAATCTGCTTATTTAGAAAGACCACCTTGAACCAATCCAAGTGTCTCGGTCTATGCTGTTTTAAACCCCAAAGATAAAATTCCAAGATTACCAAGCTACATAGATCTAAAATATTCTGAATACATAATTTAACAAAATTCGTTTACCTGCAATTAGTCATGGTTGCCATGCACGTGATAGCCAACTTGTCAACGACAGATGACTGATGTGTGAACAAACCGCCGACGAGTATGCCCAGAGCAATGAAATGACCAGAAATGTCTTTGGGCAAGGAAAGGCCGAGTGAACAATTCCAGACCAAAAATTTCCTAATAAATAGGAGAAAAAATGTCAGACAGTCCACTAGTCGTGTACTCGATATTATATCATGTCATTCTACGATTTTTACAATGTGCAAATGCTGCAAGCAATGCAGCAATTTTACGCAACGTCGGATCTTAACTCTCAACAGACATTGTTAGGACCACAGGTAAATAAATTTTAATATAAACTTTTCACCATGCTCTTAAAAAAATTCAGCAATTGTTTACGTCGAATAACACTAATACTCCAAATGAACTTTATCTGCAAAACAGCGACTTGTATGTGGAAAACAGCGAGAGCAACAACGAAGCTGTGGCGTTGCAAGCTCCTGGGTAAGCAAGCAGTTTGCATTTCAGCTATGTAAAAAATAAACTTCACACATCTACGCCTGTGGTGATTCACACATCTACAAATGAAGAAATTATTCCTGAAGCCCAGCCCATCTATCGCGCTGAAAAAAGAGATGAGTTAAAGAGGATCAAATTTTGTTTTAGTATATCGTCGAGTCATTTCTAACTTAATATGCGTAGTGCACACTAAGCACGCTGAGTGACGAACTGCAAAACTAGAACCGGCTCATTTGCAGTGATTTCTCCTTGTTTCCTTGTCTCTTTTGCTTTTATTAATCATACGTTAGTCAATAGAACACATTTCTACATTTTGTCAGGCTAGAAAATGCTTAATTGAGAAGTTACCAGTGAGGGTGCCATCGCTAATAGTGTTTAGTGTGCATTTTCACATATTAAGTTAGAAATGACTCGAGGTTATGATATCTCAAATTCTCCGTTATGTTATACTTTTTCCCACCACAGAAAAACTAAACGAGACAGCACGATCATACTATCGTTGCCGCGGATGCCAGCAACAAAACGATTGCTACACTTCAGTCAAGGTAAGTAAAATTTCCTAAAGGCCAATTTACTTAGAATTCTAGCTCATAAAAACAAATAAAAATTTAAAGGTGCAAGACGATGTTTTGAAAGTGATCCATGCATGTTACCCCACGATTGCATTCCTCTGGATCGCTATCGTGATAAGGCAAATCGTCATGGTTATCAGGTAGCTTTTTTACAATAAATTCAGCTATTTCAAAGAAAATATTTTTGCAGGCATGCCAATTTATGAGGAAAGACAAAAGGCTTACAAAACAACACCTTACAGGCATTTCTCGGAGACCGCCCATGCTATATTAACCGACACATGGAGAAGTGAATTTTTTGTAAAAACAAACAGCTTAGCTTATTTGCAATTTTTCAGCACTCAAAGAAAGAGAAAAGTGCTTGGTAAATTTTATGGAAAGAGTTACGAGCAAAGAAGGAAAAGCTCGCCAAGTTAGTATATTTTACATCTTCTAATTATTTGCTACTATCTCTAATGCTTTTTCAGGGCAGCAAACGCTCACAAAAGGACTGTAGATCCGAACAATATTCCAGAAGATCTTCGTAAGTTCCCGGTGGCGAGGTATTTTTGCAGCTTCAAACGGATGATCTGCACATATACTTCAGCAGAAAAATTGTTGAGGTAAGTTTGCGAATATTAACTGAAGACGAGTCGAGGAGTCGAGACGAAAAAGAAATTTAGTTGGCTCGAGACCATGGATTGCATGCACTAATTGAGGATGGAGTGCACAAATTGAATCCTGTTACAATTCCAAATAGAATGGATAAAGGCCAGGTTTATGTCGTGCACTCGGCAATCCAAGGAGGCATAGGGGTGAGTTTTTACAGAAAAAAATCGAAAAAAAATTCCCTTAATTTTTTCAAGGTGCCGTTACTCTATGCTGTCACCAGATTCAAGACCGTGGGAACATACAAAATAGTTTTTCTTCCTCTCTTGTTGAAACCTCGGCATAATTCAAACTGTGTCAGTATAATGTAGCCAGCACGAGGTTTGGGCGAAGCAATTTATTACATCAGTGGCCTAACGCATTTCGACTACTCGTCGTCTTCGGAGGCCTAAAGTGGTGCGGGATTAGTGATCTTATGTCTGCCCCACCAAGTGCTTCGTCAACCCTCGGTCAGCTTCTCGATCCCTTCTCAAGTTTTACATGCAAAAGTCGCTAGATGGGAGAAGACGAACAAACCTTTGCTCCACCGCCGGTCACTTGATGATATAGTGCAACCGCTTCCTTGGTGAAAGTAGTGTCAATGAGTCACATTAAGCGGCTCATTGTAGATGTAATCATCGCACTACTCTATCATAGCTCACACAGTGATAAAAATGGCACGAAGTTATTCGTAACGGCTAGGCACTCGTTTCTGTTGTTCATAAGCGGCTTTTTGCGTGTGATCCAGAACGCATCGAGAGCTTTCCGCGCAGACGTATCTTTTTCGTAAGCCAAAATTGTACATTTGATCTCGTAGTCTTGATCGCGGTGATATTCATGTTTATGTCTATCGAGCGGCGAAACTAGACTACCTCTTCGTTTATTGGCAAGGTGTTCTTTAACTCTTACGCCAAGTGGTCTTTCGGTTTCTCCTATATGGCTAGCACCACAAACTAAACATTCTATCTGATATATTACCCCTGTTTTCGCGCAATCACCAATGCTGCTATGTGGGCAAACTACGCACTCTTTCGAGATGCAGTATTTGTTGTTGTTTGTTTTGAGATCTCAAAAGACGACTTGTACGGAACAGGCTTTATGGCAAAAGATTGAAAGATTTGTAGTCGATTTTGAAAAGGTGAGTTTTTCTAATGATTACCAGTCCAAATAAAATTATCTACAGGCGGCCATTCGAGCAGTTAGGGAGACTTTTCCTGATGCGGATGTCCAAGGATGCGCTTTTCATTTAGCGCAGGCGTGGAATAGGGCTTTTGTTAATTTGGGGCTAAGAAAGTTCATAAGGGGACCTAAAGCTGCTCTAGAGGTAAAAAATTGTTGGGAGATTTTGAAGGGGGTTATTTTTTTGCCGGAGGAACTCATAAGCAGAGTTTCAGCCCTTTCAACGCCACCGGTAAGTGAATCACATGTAGCACATGCGCCATGCAATGAATTTTTAAAGTATTTAAATACTGTTTATTTTAATGGTACTTTTAAAGGAATGTGGTGCAAATGGGGTATGCAGGATTATGAGACAACGAACGCAGCGGAAACATTTCACAAGTAAATAATCATCCAAATTTATGCTGACATCAAACTCCTGATTTCAGCAAATTGTGCGGAATGCTTTCAAAGCGAATTAATCCCCCGTTTGAAGAGCTGTTGGAATGCTTACACTCCATCAACTCATTAGCACTAGAAATGTTGATGTCCAAGAGGTTAGAATTTGTAATTAATAGTATTTTTATAACACTAATAATTTGTAAATCAGAATGCACGCGCTTCGAGAGCTCTTCGCAATAAAGATCAAGAGCGTCGTGACAAGAGCAATAACGCAAACGATGAGTTTAAAGAAATGCTTCGTTTGAATGATGATTTAGAGATAGATGTCATTAATAACTATTGCAGGAAGATGTCACAGTTTTTTACAGAGAAGACTATATAGATGGACTCAAAATTTCTTCGAAAAAATGAGTATATAATATTAGGTCGGTGCAAAAGTTTTGTCAGTTTTTTCAATCCATCGGCGATCACGCTAGAATGAAAATAAACAAACACTTTGAAATGTGTCCGATGCAAAATTTCTTCCTCTTTCCAGCTGCTCAACTCTCGTTGTTTCGCTGCGAGAGTGACGAGATATATGCTGGGAATTATAACTGCTCGTTTTTACGATGTCCAATTTTGACTAATTTTTAAAATTTTTGTATGGGACTTTCGAAGGGGCACTAATAACCAGCAGATGGGGCAAACCTTTTGCCAATCTATGCAATTTTTTTTCCAACTGCGTTTTCAGATTTTTGCTAAATAATTTTCTAAAAGTCTTGTCTTGTGAAAAAATCGCATAACCTGCTATTGCACCAAACACTGCAAAATCTATAGAATACTGAGGTTTCAACACGTGATTATTACTACCGCTACCATTGCAAAGTAAATGAGCGATTTTCGCTTCAAATTATGAAGATTTTGAAACATAGGTTACGTGAGTGCGTACGCCTGAAAAATTGAGAATTACTGCGATTTTCCTCCCAAATTTCGCCTATCTCGAAAAAAAGACAAGCGTTAGAAGGAGGAGAAAAAGTTGCATCGACTGATGACTGAAGTGTTCAACATTTTATGTTCTACGAAGTTAAAATAGGCTAAATGTAAAATTTGGTCACTTTAAAAAATAAATCATAGAAATTCGGAAAGACAAGCCGTAGGGCTATAATAAAAGCTTCTGTTGCAAAAGGTTTGCCCTATCTGCTGGTTATTAGTGCTCCTCCGAAAGTCTCATATAAAAATTTTGATAAAAAGCGAAGTTTGAACGTGGTAAAAACGATTGGTTGTAATTTCCAGCAAATATCTCGTCACATTCGCAACGGAACACAATGGTAGTTTAGCAGCTGAAACGAGGGAGAAATTTCGCATCGGATACATTTCGAAGTGTTAGTTTATCTTCATTCTGATGGGTATGCCGATGAATTAAAAAAACTGACAAGACTTTGCACCAACCTAATATAGATATATAGATATATATAAATTGTATTTTGTCTTTGTGTACAACGATCGATTGAGGGAAATGGCCCTCATGGCCTTCTGTTATCGCCAGATTTTCAGGGCATGCCTGTGGCTGTTATCACCAAATCCGAAAAAAGTAGAAAATAGAAATAGAAAAATTTCGATTATTCATGCAAAATCATCAGCTTTTTTAAACAGCATGTCAAGAAACCCTAATTGTGAAATTTGCCAAATTTACAGAGAATGAAATAAATAAAATTTCCAAGGAAGAAATATTCAATTTGGAGCGTAACTATTAGCTTTTTAGGAAACATCATGTCAGAAAACCCTTACATAAAACTTTTGAAATTTTTATTTGTGAAAACAAGTTTTAATATAAAGAGAAAAAAATTTTAGGTTTCAAGTAAAATGATTAACATATTCGGAATCAGCGTGATAGGATACCCCTAAATACAAGTTTTTGCCCTAATTGGACTGATTTTACTACTGAACTTTGAGTTCAAATTTCAAAGAAATTCCGGTTTCATAGGCTGCAGGATGATGACGGAGTTACCGTGAGCAGGATCAGCTCATCTTCGGTGCAAAATGAGTGCGAATTACGTTGCTGCCAGTTCATGACCTCTCATGAACCCCGCTAATTAGGCGGCGGCAACGTTATTGTGCATGTAAGTTCCCTCACCCCTTTTGACAACACGTTGATTAAAATTGCAACGACGTTATGCGCTGAAAGCCGATAAAATGCTGCACTCAGTGACAATGGAAACTTTGATGATCTTTGCTCTGTCGGACGTGGCACTCGTTCAAGGAAAAGACAACAGTTTCAGAACGACCTAATATCAAGCTGATACTTGAATCTCAAAGACAGTGTCCTGGCAGATTCTGCATTTTCACCAGTCGCATGTTCAAGGCCTTCTCGACATGTAGAGCCCGAATTTGAGCTTTGAGCCTGGTGAGAAGACGTTTTTGGGACCTTCCCAATTTCCAAAGAGTTTGCAATGAAAAGTTGAGAGGCCCCAGCACGAAGACCATGCCACCTGTAATTTTTGCTTTGGATAGTAGCGTGCACAAAGCTAGAGGGGTCGTGGGTCTCGCGCCGAACAGTAAGCAAAGCCGTCGTGCGCGCGCTGGTGGGCCATTTTCTCGGCGCAGAGGTAACATCAACCAGCCGGACCGAGCCTGAAGGTTAGTGAGGTGACCAGGAACGCCACCACAACTGTATCTACGGGCGCAGCTTGCCGGAGACTGCCTTCGAGGGCCGCATGCACTAACATCCCCGCTGGGGAGGGAGATCGCAGCTCAAAAGAAAGCTGCATTGAAGATTCAGATATTATCTGGATGTCCCATTATCTACCTCTCCGTGAGTATTCCTGACACTCTTCACCATGAACATATTGAACGGGAGCAAGAAGCTGTACAAGCCGCATTTTCCAGCTTTTGTATGATTCCTGATGATCCCCCGCTGCCAAATGTCTTTTCTTCAAAGTCATGTTTTTTCTCCAGAGTTGACGAAAACCTTCCAGAGTTGTACTGAACATCTAACACAACAGTGCTAAATATCAGTTAATTCGAATTTCTCGATAAACAACTTTCGACTTGTGGTGCATCGCAAATTTCATACTTCAGTACATTATTTGTTCTTATCAGCAACATGGTTAGCATGTTGGGTTAGGTAATCTGTACGACATTGAAGCCTTTTGTTAGCTTCGAAGAAAGAAAAATGATTTCGAAGAAAAGACGGCCGCCGGTCATCAGAAAATCATAAAAAAGACTGAAAAATACTGTTTGCACAGCTTCTCGGGGGGGGGGGGAATTTTAATGCATACGGCCTTAAGAAAGATGCAGCCTTAGCAAATACATTGAATGCAATGGTGCACTACTTAAACTACAACCTTAACTGCAAATTTAAGCTTAGGCTTTGGCCATATTTTGCCCGTGTTGCCGATGTTTCCAGTGTTACTTGTGTTGTCGATGTTTCCAGTGTTACTCGTGTTTCTAGTGTTACCGCCTTTATGTTGTTGATTCTTAAAATGATCGCCAGTAGAGTTTCATTTTCTCGGTAACATTGATAATATCGGCAACACGAGTAACACGAGTGACACTGGAAACATCGGCAACACGAGTAACACTGGTAACATCGGCAACACCGGTAACACGAGTAACACTGGAAACATTGGCAACACGGGCAAAGTATGGCCAAAGCCTTAGAGGATGCAGTCATTCATTTCTTTAAATAAAAATCGCGTTTTTATACAACGATTTCATAGCCGCTAAACATCCATATAATTCGATTTTTGAGATTTTATAGAGATCCTCAAAAACTAGAAATCTTCCTCTAAAAACCATATAAACTAAACCCATGTTTCTGTCATTTTTCGTAAAATATGACATTAATGTTCGAGAGCGCAAAAAGCGAAAAACTTTCCGAATGACGTAATAACGTAAAATGAGAATCCAACCTGTCACATGAGTTTGGTCTAGTTAAACTATTCCTGATTTTTTCTCGTTTTGTTTCTTTTGTAGTTGTAAAACAATTGATGATAACAAGAGAGCACATTCTGAAATTAGCCGTAATGTGTGTTCATCTGTGTCAAGCCAAGATACGTGAGATATTAGGTCATTCCGAAAGTAATTTCGCTTTTTTCAAACGGGCGCCACATTTGATAGAACAAAGGTTTCTGAGAGATTTTGGAAGCATTCGAAACAGCATTTCATTCTCTTTCTAATGGTTATGAAATCGTTGCAAAACAATCAATGAGCTTTCAGAAAATAACCAAAATGTGCGACCCATGCTTTTTGAGATAGTCAAGTTTCACAATTTTTTGAAAATTTCATATCAATTCTCAGAAGAAGGCCAAATGACGGTTCGATAGAGCAAACCTCATAGAATACAGTGCAACTTTTTTCTCTTTTCCTTAGCTTGTCATACATTTTTAACAGAATTTTAACTGATGCTACCGATTTCCATACTTGGACAGCTAAATCCTAGTAGAACATCAAACCTTGAGCAGCTCGAGTGTCATTCGATGCAGCTTTTTCTCCTCTTTCTAAGGGGTGTTTTTGTTTCCGATTCATTTAGTTTCCGGGGATAAAATCATCATAACTCATTTTTTTAGCGAGCCCCAGGCTGCACCCGAAAAACTCGAAATTTGATACTTCGAACCCGTGAACCCTCGCTTGCTTTGTAAAATTAATGCTAACTCATAGTACCATCTTGGTAGTCTCAAATTCCGAAAAATATGATGTTTGATGCGATTATGGTTGAGGTGGGCCTGCCAAAATCCGATGGTTCTTTTAAAAAATCTTTAAAAAATTACGGCGAGCTCCGAGAAAGACAAGAAAGTAGCGCTGTATTCTATAAGGTTTACTCTATCGAATCTTTACTTGAGCTCCTTCTGAAGATTGATATGAAAGGTTTAAAAAATCGTGAAACTTGACTATTTCAAAAAGCATAGGTCGCAGATTTTGGTTATTTTCTTGAAGCTCATTGGCTGTTTTGCAACAGTTTCATAACCATTAGAAAGAGAATGAAATGCTGCATCGAATGCTTCCAAGTTCTCTTAGAAATCTTTGTTCCTTCAGAAGTGGCGCCCGTTTGAAAAAAGCGAAATTACTTTCGGAATGATCTAATATAATGATTTGTAGGAAAAATAAGGTTTTGTTCTTTGTACTTCCGAAAAACCTTTGAACCCCCTACACAGCCGAAATCATAAAATTTGAAAAGTAAAAAAATCCAGATCTTGCATTGAGTTTATAAGCCCAACATGATTATTCCCCAACATGATTATTGAAGTTATAAACAATGCTGCATTTTGTAAAAGTTTAAGATACTTGCCATTGCCATGCAGTTTTGAGATACTTGTCCTTGCATGCA